CAAAAGCTTGAACCTAATTTATCTGTTTGCTGTCTTCAGCTCATTTTCACTGTATGAATAAAGGAAAGAGGTAAATTAAAGTTATCCCAGGTTATTACTCATGAGAGGTTAAAGTATGTTCTAATGGGCAGATTAATTCTGTGGGGAAATAACATTAAATCTTTCCGAAGCCTTGAAATTTCTCAAAAGCATTCTTACTGCCTTCTTGCAACAGAAGCAGTCATCTGGCTAGATAATCTGGCATCTTGAATAACTTTGCACTTAAGGCCTGTCAATTTGATCTTCCAAGGTTAATTGATTATTTCAACAAGCATTCTTGCCAGAAAAGATCTGAGTGCTCACATCTTTTCATTAATTCATGCTGTTTGGTGAGAAGGTGAAAAATAAGAAGGGGCGGCTTGATTTAACCCCTCCGTTCCAGGGCCTCTGGAGGAGGGGCAGGTCTGGGGCCCAGCTTCACGGGGGCAAGCTGCGGCTCTGTGTGCTGAATGCCCGTGAGTTAGCACGGCCTCCTGCGTCCTGAGGCTGGCTCTCCGCCTGACGGGTGCGTGAGCCCGCTTGTAACCCGAGCCGCTGGTTTCCTCAGGACTCTGGCCCTGCAGCGCCGGCCGCTGGCCCTGGACATGCCGCTAGGCTCCTGGGGAGGACGTGCGCGGCCAGTCACCAGGGATTTGTCACGGATAGCCTCCTCTGCAGATGCCCAGCCGGGACACTGAGGATCTCCCCTCCCCCGACGGTGCCACCACGCCCCAGCTGAACCACGGAGCTGCCTGGGAGACGGGGTTCCTCTCTTACAGGCATTAGACTTGTGCAGGTATTTGTGCTTCTTAACAAGACTTTAAAAAGCAGTCCCAGACCCTTCCAGCCTGAGAAAGCACTTGCGTCTGTCTGGACAGTCTCCATGGCGCAGCAGTTTTGTTTCTGACCAGGTCGAATCCCCAAGCCCCCGCGAGCCTGGAGAGGGTGCCCCGTCTCTGGCCTTCCCCGTGCTCTCCCCCACCCCCATGCGGCCGCTGACTCCCCTCCACTGTTTCCTCTTTTGCCCACGAAGGCTGGAAAGAGCAGTGGCAAGTCCACCCTTTTCTGCTCACTGTCTGGGGCCCGCAGCGCCCCTGTGGACACCCGCTCACCCCATCCTGGCTCATTTTGGGGGGGTGGTGCCAGCTTGCATGCCCGGGGCAGGAGGCGGGTCTGGTACCACGGGGCGGGCATGGCCGGGCACAGGCGCCTGCAGGCTGGCAGGGCCGCCCTGCCCTCCCTGCACGCTTCCAAATGGAATTGGCATTGGAAGGGGAAGGCCACAGCTTTGTTTCCATAACATAAGCGACAGAACAATCAACACGCATTAATCATGATCATTACCCGAATCGTGCGTAAGGACACTGCTGACCGCTTCCGCTGCGCGTTCGTTACTTGCTGTTCCTTTTCTCCTCCTCTTGGAAAAGAGGGGAAAGCGACAGAATTGTCAGGATGACTCAGGGTCACTGCCCGGAAACGAATGTAGATGACACGCCAAGTGTGCGCTTCTTGGGAACTGCGAGCAAAACGCTCGGAGCCGGCACCCGCTCTCCTCCCCTCGCGCCCTGACAGGTATTATTGCCCTCTAGAGAGTGACTTCAGCCGGTTAGGCGCCTGGTGTCCGGGGATGTCAGGGGACTGTGATTAGACACGTTTAATTAGGATCTACCCCGCTGCTCCTAACAAGCATTTAATTAACTGCGAGGCAGGGTAATTAGCCCTGGCGGCTGACTTCCCCTCTCACCTTCTGTTGACACTCGTCCTGCCCCGAGGCGCCCCGCGGGCTGACAGTGTAATGGATAGTGGCATCGGGGGAGATGCAGATCTAGGCTGAGTCTAAAAAAAGCGCCCAGTGCAGCGATGAAGATAAAAGCCTCAGGAACGACTATCGTGGGCCCACGTCTGGGAGTCACCGGAGGCCAGGGGCCCACGGGCGGACTAAGACCCTGCCGGGAGGGGAGGAGCCGCCCCTGAAACAAAGCCGGCCCCGCCGTCTACGTGGGGCCCTCGTGGGAGGTTCTCTTTCCCCAGAGCTCGGGTTCCATCTTCGCATCTCAAATGGATGCCCCGTAAAGGCCAGCCCAGCGCCCGCCTGGCGTGCGGACCCAAGGAACCAGAGGGCTCTTCCCAGAAGCCAGCAGCCCCGGCGCCTCCTCCTGCTTTCAGCCGCGTCTCCAAACTCCCGGCCGGGGATCTGCTCCTCCATCCTCTGAGATCTCTCTCAAACGTGACGGGACTCCCCACTACAAGGATGAAACCGCCAACGCCTGAGGGAGGACAGACTGAATTCGCTTCCTGGTGCTGATTGTAAAGGCACGTGTGCCTCACGAGGGAATCGTCTCATGTTTGCACACCCACGTGCTCAGCAGCAAACTCACACCAGCCAAAAGGTGGAAGCAGCCCAGGTGGCCGTCAACAGGTGACAGGTAAGCACAGCGTGGTCCATCCACGCGATGCAATACTACTCAGCCATGAAAAGGTTGGAGATCCTGACACAGGCTATGACACGGATGAACCTCGAGGACGATACGCTCAGTGGAGTAAGCCAGTCACAGAAGGACAGATCCTACGTGAGTGCGCTCATAGGAGGGAGCTGGAGTCATCAGAGTCTTAAAGCAGAAAGAAGCTGGTGATCCCAAGGGCTGGGGAGGAGGGGCCGGGGGTTAGCGCTGGGTGGACACAGGGTTTCAGTTTGGGCAGGTGGAAAAGTTCTGCAGATGGTGTGGAAGGCTGCCCAGTACAGTTGACCCCTGAACTCCAAGGGGAATTATGGACACTGACGTCCTACATGGTAGAAAATCGTAGAGTGATTCATAGTCAGTCCTCTATGTACATGGACCCTCCACGTGCGTGGTTCTCCACCTGCAGATTCAGCCCAGCCCCAGTCATGTAGCGCTGTTGGGAGTACTCTCGAAAGCAAGCCCACGTGTAAATGGACTGTGCATTTTAAACCTGTCATTCAGGGCCTACTCTAATGTGAGTGTATTTAATGCCACAGAATCTACACGAAAGAACGGCTTGTGTTTAGCTGATGAGTTGCATCCAACTCTCTGCGACCCCACGGACTGCAGCCCGCCAGGCTCCTCTGTCCACGGGATTCTCCAGGCAAGAATCCTGGAGTGGGTTGCCATTTCCTCCTCCAGAGGATCTTCCCAACCCAGGGATTGAACTTGCATCTCTTATGTCTCCTCCATTGGCAGGTGGGTTCTTTACCACTAGTGCCACCTGGAGATCCCAGACAAGTTGCAAAGAGACACTCACTATCAAAACTTAAGAACCAGGGCCGGTACACTTGAAAATGATAACCAAGTGGGTGGTTCTTTGAGAAGAGTCAAAGCACAGAAAGACAAAATAAAGCACTGGGGAGAAAAAGGCCCCCGAGCTGATGGGGGCCCTCCCTGCCGCCCTGACTTCTCTCCTGCCTGGGGCGCTCATCTCTTCCTGTCCCCAGTCTGGCGTCACCCCGCTCACGACCGTCCCCTCCCCTGCTGTGCGGTCTTCTCCAAGCTCACGCCCAGGTCTCTATCATGGGTTTATTTTGCATGAATAAATAACCCAGGGGAGGGCAGGATGTCTCCTCTGCTTACTGTTTCATCTGCGCATCCAGACACGGGATCAATAGCTATTAAATGAATAGAGAATTAATAACTCCCCACAAGAACAGGGATTTGAAAAAAGGAACAGATCAAACCTGGGAACATCCTCGGTGTGTCCCGAGGATGGGGTTCCTTGTCTGCATGTTTTCCAGTGGGACCCAAGGTTGGGAGGAGGGGTCCCGAGTATTGGAAATACTTGGCTTAACTGATGAGCGGCTCTGCACCCTGAGTGTCCCAGTTCCATCCCACGGTCAGGGCTCTCCTGAAGGGCAATGGAGAGGCGAGTGGGACGGACAGTGTTTGGGGCCCGTGTCTGTCTGGACCTGCTTGGCGTTGGTTCTGAAGGAGGCCCGAGGCAGGCCGCAGAGGGGCCTGCCAGGGGAGGCAGGGGCCGGCCTGTCTCCAGGACCTCGGGGCTTGGTTCTCTAGGGCCCAGGGGAGGGAGTTGGACCCCTCGAAGCCGTCCCAGCTGAAGGCTGAGCAGGTGGTAAGTGGCAGAGGAAGCCTCGGTTGGCACAGAGACCACGGTCCCACGTCTCTACACGGGAGACCCTTCCCGAGGCGCCTGTGCCCTTTGCCCTCTGGACCACCCTCATGCCCGTCTTCCTGATGCTCACTGAAGGTCGCCAACGTTGCTCGTGGCCTTGCTCTCTCTAGGCAAGGCTCTTGCCGCCTGGTGAGCGCGGCTCAGCCCTGTAGGATGTGGCTCCCGGGGGCCTTCCTGTCAGTCTGCGTGTCCGCCCTTGGGCTGATCCCCCAGGGCTCTTGGTGACCCCACGGCCCTCACCACATGGTGGGCCTCTCTCCTGCCCCGCCCAGAGCCCCTCACGTTCCTGCCACGCCTGGTCCCCCGGCGAAGGCTCCAGTTATAGACAGGCCTGCTCACCGTCAAGTTCTCAGCATGGAACAGCTGTGCACGGGGGGATCGATAACCCAGCTCCCACCGTGGAGCTTACGATGTGAGGATGTGGGCAGGTGACACGTTATGTGCAAGTGTACACACACGCGCTCCTCTCAGACTTGTAACAATCCCACTTTAAATTCACAAGGAGAAGCTTATACTTTAAGGAAAAGTGGGAGAAACGTTCGCACATTGGAAAATATAACCATCCCTCTCCTTCACTGAATATTTTTTTTTTTTTTGCAGATTTGGATTCCTGAATTCCAGGCTTCTCTGAAGCAGACATATTTGCACATCACCTGAGAAGGGCTGGCTGGTGGGACACAGTGTGATGCTTTCCAATAAAATGCGATCATTCTGACCACCACGCAGCACAGATTGGATCGATGTAGGCTTCAGTGGCCCCTGTTCCTGAAAGCATCTGTAACAACGCACATGGCTCGTGGTGTGGACGCCCTGTCCTCAACCCCAGCCACGAGGGTCACTCAGCCGGGCTCCGGGCACAGGCAGCGCTCTGACCGCTCGTAACTGGTGTCCGGCGTGTGCTGAACGGGCCTAGGTCGTTTCACAGCACGTCCGTGGAGGCCGTGGGGTCGATGCGAGCGTCCAGGAGGAACAGCAGTGTGCCGGGGTTGGAACGCTGACGGTGGCCGTGCTAACTGCCCCCGTTCACTCCTCTTCTCAACCTGGACGTGGAGGATGCGCTGGGGTGTCAGACGGAGCTGAGGACCGCAGCTATGAAGTGACCCCCAGAAGAGGGCCTGCAGTAAAGCACACTCTCGCTGAGGCTGCTGCTGGCTGAGGGGCCTGGGGCCAGTCCAGACCCCAGACCCCCCGGCTTCGTCCACCTGATTCAGAATCGGGTGGACAGTGGCTGCGTCTGTGGGGGTTTGGAGGGTCTGTGAACTGACTACAGTAAACGAAAGAGATGTGAACCTCTCACCCTCTTACACACATGTGCACACACAAGCACACATGGCAACTACAGTGAGGACGACCTTTCAAACATCAGTTATTCCTCAAACAAGTGGGTCACCCTCGCAACTCTATGCCCTGAAGCATGTGGATGGTTGCACAAGGCAGTCTGGAGGTGCCCAGTGACCCGAGGTGAGCAGGCCACGTGGTTTTCAGCCTGGGTTCTCGGAAGAAGCTCCAGGGGCTGGGGCTGGGCAGGTGGGCAGCTGTTTCCCCACCCCCTCTGTTATCTGCAAGGTGGATAGACACCCTCAGAATGGGAGAAAATAATAGCAAATGAAACAACTGACAAAGGATTAATTTCCAAAATATACAAGCAGCTCAAACAACTCAATATCAGAAAAACAAACAACCCAATCAAAAAGTGGGGAAAAGACCTAAACAGACATTTATCCAAAGAAGACATACAGATGGCTAACACATGAAAAGATGCTCAACATTGCTCATTATTAGAGAAATGCAAATCAAAACTACAATGGGGTATCACCTCACACCGGTCAGAATGGCCATCATCAAAAAGTCTACAAACAATAAATGCTGGAGAGGGTGTGGAGAAAAGGGAACACTCTTGCACTGTTGGTGGGAATGTAAGTTGATACAGTCACTATGGAGGATGGAGATTCCTTTAAAAACTTGGAATAAAACCACCATAGGACCCAGCAATCCCACTCCTAGGCATATACCCTAAGGAAACCAAAATTGAAAAAGACACATGTATCCCATTGTTCACTGCAGCACTATTTACAGTCGCTAGATCATGGAAGCAACCTAGATGTCCATCGACAGATGAATAGATAAAGAAATTGTGGTACATATACACAATGGAATATTACTTAGCCATAAAAGGAGTATATCTGAGTCAGTTCTAATGAGATGGGTGAACCTAGAACCTATTACATAGAGTTAAGTAAGTCAGAAAGAGAAAGATAAATATTGTATCCTAACACATATATATGGAATCTAGAAAAATGGTACTGAAGAATTTACTTACAGGGCAGCAATGGGGAAATGGACATAGAGAATAGACTTATGGACATGGGGAGAGGGGAGGAGAGGGTGAGATGTGTGGAAGGAGTAACATGGAAACTTATATTACCATATGTAAAACAGAGAGCCAACGGGAATTTGCTGTATGGCTCAGGAAACTCAGGGCCCCCTCATAGCTCAGTTGGTAAAGAATCCGCCTGCAGTGCAGGAGACCCGGTTTGATTCCTGGGTCAGGAAGAACCTCTGGAGAAGGGATAGTCTACCCACTCCAGGATTCTTGGGCTTCCTTGTGGCTCAGCTGGTAAAGAGTCTGCCTGCAATGCGGGAGGCCTGGGCTTGATCCCTGGGTTGGGAAGACCCCCTGGAGGAGGGAAAGGCTACCCACTCCAGTATTCTGGCCTGGAGAATTCCACGGGCTATATAGACCATGGGATCGCAATGAGTCAGACAGGACTGAGCAAGCTTCACTTTCACTTTCAGGGAACTCAAACAGGGGCTCTGTGTCAACCTAGAGGGGTGGGATGGGGAGGGAGACGGGGGAGGAGGTTCAAAAGGGAGGGGACATGTGTACACCTATGGCTGGCTCATGCTGAGGTTTGATGGACAACAACAAAATTCTGAAAGCAATTATCCTTCAATAAAAAAAGATTAATTAAAAAAAAGAACTTGCAACAATTGCAGTTTCATTTTGGGTGCCACAGGGTTTCTCCAGATTCTTTCCTCCTGAAACACTGTGATGCCCAGGGCCCCTCAGGTTCCTGGATTGATGGAGGGGGTGGGGGCTCCACGGACCCAGGGGCAGTCGGCAGCATGGCGGCCTCCCTGCCCCTAGGCCGGCAGCATCACCAGGGATGGCCGTGCAGCCGCTGCGGCGGGGAACCCCCGAGGAAGCTCCTTGTGAGGTGTGGGCGGGAGAATTCAGCCCCGCACTGTCCGGGGCGCCGATCAGGGAGGGGAGGTTCTCGCGTCAGCCCCCGTGGCGTGGTCACAGCTGGGAGTGCGTGGGCGCAGCTGGTGGCCGGACACATGGGAGATGGGCACGACGGACGCTCCCGCACTTCCTCTAACCAGGTCATTTCCATCCTCTCCTGTTTCGTCTTCTCTGAGACGCAGAGTGCTCTGCAAATTGCCCGACCTCCGACACGGAACGTGCTGGGCGGTGGCAGCGTGGGATGAGCACGGTGTGTTGGGCGCTTGTTGAGCCTGCGTGTGAATGAAGAGTCATCTCGGGATCCGACCCATTCAGGGGACCGCCTTCGCTCAGGTCTGCCTTTGGAAACACTGGCAAGTCTGTCACACTTTCCTCAGACTGGATCATGAAAAACGGGTAAAACTTCACCTGAAGTGAGCTGGCTTAAACAGATCCTGCAGTGGTTACTGTGAGGCTCGTGGCCCTCGTGAGGGGAGAAGACATGGCTGGGAATATTCAAAGGATGGAAAGAAGCGATGGGAAGAGTCTTTCTAAAAGGTGAACTGCACTGAGCGCCTGTCTGGGTGGACGACCCTAACGAACAGAAATACCCAGAAATCGGGGTATTGGGGGTATTTTAGACTTCTTTCCTGACCAATACAGTTAACCAAGACACAAATTTTGGTTTTGAGAAGTACTATTAGAGGTCTTAGGGGCTTCCCTGGTGGCTCAGATGGTAAAGAAGCCGCCTGCAATGCAGGGGACCCAGGCTTGATCCCTGGGTTGGGAAGCTCCCCTGGAGAAGGGAAAGGCCACCCACTCCAGTGTTATGGCCTGAAGAATCCCACGGACAGAGAAGCCTGGTGGGCTATAGTCCATGGGGTCACAAAAAGTAGGACATGGCTGAGAGACTAACATTAGAAGTCTTCGTGAAATGTGTGAGAGTGTTTCTCTGCCTTTGTGAGTGTAGGAAAGGAGACACGATTTGGGCTTCCTTGGCTGATTCTGGATATGGCGGCTCTGTGAGTCAGCGTCCTGGATATTAATTCTCATTGTACAATGCTACAAAAGCATATGTGTTAATGTGTGTGTGTGTGTGTGTGTACATATATATGTAGTATAAGGTAGAAGATGCTGCTTTATTTTCCTTTATAAAAAAATAAATGCTTGATGTCTGTGATGGATGCAGCATCCAGGTATTTTAAAATCTTGCTCCATGGAGAAGGAAATGGCAACCCACTCCAGTATTCTTGCCTGGAAAAGTCCATGGACAGAGGAGCTGGGCGGGCTGCAGTCCATGGGGTTACATGGCTGAGCATGTGTGCACGAGGGTGGAGGGAGATGGGTTGGTAGCAATAAAGTGGTAGAACTAAAAAAAAAAAAAAAAAACAATCTTGCTCCAGGTGTGGCTTGGTCCAGGAGTGTGCAAATCACTTGGGAGGCAGTGAGAGAGACAGGGTCCCAGGTCTTCCCCGGCTCCCCCTGAAGAGGCATATGCATTGTGAAAACATCTCTGGGGGTCTTGTGTGGACCCTCGAGTTTGAAACGCTCTCCTATGAAGTATGCTGGAAAGCAATTGCAGCAAGAGGGGGAATGATGAAACTACAGAATATGAATAATTGCAGTACCTGGATGAAGGGCGTTTGAGTTTTGTTGCACTGTTCTCTCTACAAATTGTGCTGAATAGATCCTAACACCATCTCATTTGGGCTTCCTGGGTGGCGCAATGGTAAAGAATCCACCTGCCAACGCAGGAGATGCAGGAGACGTGAGTTCAATCCCTGAGTGGGGACGATTGCCTGGAGAAGGAAATGGCAACCCACTCCAGCATTCTTTCCTGGAGAATCCCATGGACGGAGGAGCCTGGTGGGCTGTAGTCCATGGGGCTGCAGAGTCAGACTTGACCGAGCACACACACACCATCTCATTTGCTTCTTATCGCTCTGTACTGCTAATAGCCAGTCTCACCAATAGAGTCTCAACCTTTTCCCCCATTTAAAATTACAGTTTATTCAGGTATATCATCTGGTTGATCCAAATTTTACTGTGTGTTAAATCTGATGCACCTGTTAAATACTCACTGAAATGACTGGGGATGCCAAAAAGAGAAAGGAAAACAGATACAACCCACTTTAAAAATGAAGAATGGTAAGGTCTGGCATTCGTGAATTCTTTCCCTCTCACTTCCTGGTTTAGCAAACGCCTGTACAGCGCTCTCTGTCCGCAAGGTCCTCGCGGAGGGACGTGTGGATTTGAACCCACTGAATTCATTCGGGCCGCACAAGGGCCTAGTGAGCCGGCAGCTGGCAGACGTGCGGGATTCCTAGGCCCGCTTCCGAGGGCCTTGCCTGGCCCTCTGCGCAGGGCCTGGGGCCTCGGGGTCCACAGTCCAGGAGGGGCCACGAGGCTAGGGGGGCCTCCCCTGCCGCCCCAGGGCAGGTTGGGAGCTATGACAGAGATCCAGGGTGACTGCTCAGGGGCCCAGTCGGCAGCCCTGCTCACCAGCTGGCTCGCTGACTGGTGCGGCCAGTTCAGCCCTCCAGACACACAACTCAGGGAACGCGGGCTGCAACCGGTGGGATTAAGGAACACTTAGACTCTCCGTCTCCCCACTCTCCCCACCAGAAAAGATACAAAGATGAGCCTGAGTCGGAGACGGGCGCAGAGCCTGCTGGCTCGTCCGTGAGACCAGGGCTGAGCTAGGGGAGTATGCTCTGAGCTTGGGTCAGGAGCCCCGGGACCTCCGTGGGTGTGACGAGGGCCCGGCCGGCCCCCAGGACCCTGGACCCGGAGGTGCCTCCTCGGAGGACGGGGCCCCAGGCGGCGAGGGCCAGGCCGGACGCCCGGCCCAGCTGGGCGGTCACGTCGCGTTCTCTGTTCCCACGCCTCGCTTTCACTGCAGACGCTCCACGCGCACACTGCCCTGCCGGAATGGCGTGTGGCGCTAAACTGGGAATGACTTACTGCAGAGAACAGTTGAAAGTAACTCACATGTCCCTCAGCAACAGAGCGGTTAAAAATAAACAACAAAACCATTTGTACAAGGAAATAGGATGCCTCTATTGAAAAGAATAAAGAGGATCCATTTGCGCTGACAGGGAGAGACACGATTTGTTGTTAAGGAAAACATCAAGTTGGGAACCTGAATAAAGAATGTGATTTCATTTTTGTTCCAGAAATGGTCAGATAGGGTGATAAGTAGGAAAAAAGACCGAAAGCGTTTCCACGAAGCCGTCAGCAGTGATGACCCAGGACCCGAGCCAGCAGGGAAGGTCTATCGGCAGTGATGGAGCAAAGTGAAAGTTGCTCAGTCGTGTCTGACTCTTTGTGACCCCACGGGCTTCACAGTCCATGGAATTCTCCAGGCCAGAATACTGGAGTGGGTAGCCGTTCCCTTCTCCAGGGGATCTTCCCAACCCAGGGATCCAACCCAGGTCTCCCACATTGCAGGGGGATTCTTTACCAGCTGAGCACCAGGGGAGCCCAAGAATGGGCACAGTAGTTCTGTGACTCGTCGGAGGCTCTGAAAACCCACCTCTTCTCTGTCTGTGAAACACACGACGGTGTTTGTGTCACAGAGCGACTGCCATGTGCAGGAGAGACCACGCCCAGAGGGGCCAGGGCTGAAGGGGGACAAGACTGGGTGTCCAGAGCTCCGCTCACCACCCAGGACCGGGCTTCATCAGAGTGGCACATGACGGTGAAACGGGAACGCACCTGCTGGTGCTTGAACCTGCAGGCCTTTCCCAGGGCTGCCTTTCTTCCCTCTTCGTTTATTTCAATGACAGAAAGGGTCAGTGAAGAACGTTCTTTCCTCCGCCTCGTTCTTCCTCTCTCCTTCCCCTTGGCTTCCTCCTTCCTTTCTTTCTAGGACAGAGCCTCCTATGCCTGGTACCCCTGTCAACTCAAACATGGCAGCAAAGCAGGAAGCGGAAATAAACTCTGGGCAGAAGGACCCTCCCTGTGATCCGCTCTGGGGTCACAAGCGGCCCAGGGGATGGTGTCAGAGCCGCGTCTGAGATTAAGTGGAGTCAACCCTGGCCACAGCTGGAGCGGCCGGCCGGCCACAGACACCAGCTCCTGCCCGTCCCAGAGCAGAGGCTGCCGCAGCGCGAGAACTCGGCCTGGGGGCCAGCACAGGGGGCCTCGGGCTCGGGGCTGGCCCCTAACCCTCGGCCTGGGGGCTGACCCCTGACGCTCGGCCGCTGGAAGGGACTGGACCTCCGGCTTTGTGCTGGGACCTCCCACCCCGAGTCTCTTCTGAGACAGTTCCCCTGCTGCCCCTGGGAGTGACTCCCCAGCTCGGGCACATCCCTCCAGAGGGCCGTGGGAGGGGAGCCTGTCTTCCGTGAAGGGCTGTGGGTGGCGAGGGGCCTGGCCAGCAGCTGGACCATGATGAGGACATGTCTTTGAGAGGCCTTGACCACAGAGTGTTTCTCTCCCCTGCTTCCCAGCGACCCGCCAGCGTTTAAAGCACTGGCTTAAAGCTGGAGGGAGATGAGGCGGATGCTGTAATCTATGAATATTTGCCCTATTTTGTTTACATGGATGTTTAAGCAGAAATCAATAAGAAAGTGAAATCACACAGAAAGCCCACCCCAAGTCACAGGACGCAGCCCACGGCAGGCAGCTCGATGCTTCAGGAAAACCAAGTGCCCGAGAGTGTGAGTGACGCGGGACGGGCAGGGGCCTCTCGGGGCGCTGGGTGACGGTTCCAACAGAGACGGGCCTGGGCGTGAGCGCGTCACCCCTGGGCTGGGATCTGGATGCTGCCGCCTGGAACATCATACTACAATCAAACGTAGCAGATTCTATACCCAGCAATTTCAAACCGTGCCTTCCAAATGGATACATTCTACACAAATAAAAGGATCTGATTTTGGGCTTTGAAATCAGCGCCTGCCTTCTGTTTGCTGTACAATGCCATCTGACTTCTTCAAAAGCTCAGCGCCTCTTTTCCCTCCTGCACCTGTGAAAGCATCATCATCTCATCTCAGATGCTTCCGTGTGACGCGGCAGGGAGGCGGGGTGCCCGCAGGCCTGCAGTGGGAGGGGCATGGGACCCCCAGCCCTCACGGCACCATCACCCCGGGAAGCCCACGGCCGTGCCCCCGTCCACCTGGGAGCTGAGGCCAGGGGAGGCCTTCGAGAGGAGGAGCCGCAGGCGAGCCGCCGTAGCTCCTTCCCAGAGGGACCGGTGCTTCCGGGAGCTCGGGCTCCTCCTGCTGATCCACGTGTTCCCAGAGGAACTCCCATGTGAAGTCAGCGTCACAGAGAGGGGAGCGGACGGCCCGCACGATCGGACGGTCCTGTGACGACGTGCCCATCGCATCGGCAGCTGTGTGACCTTAGGAGAGTTGCTGGAGGTCTCGGACCCCCACTCTCCCATCTGTGATGAGGGTTGTTCACGGCTCAGCCCTCCCAGGGCGGCGGTGAGGATGCCACCATCAAACTCAGGTCGGGCTGAGGCCGAGCAGCTCTGACGGGTCTCCGGCTGACACTTCAGGATGAGATGCCGATCGGGTGGAGGACGAGCGGCCGCACCTCCTCGCCCTGTGGTCCCCACGACTGCTGTCCCGATGCTCACACAGGGGAGGCTGGCAGTGTAGGGGAGGCCACAGGAGGCAGGAGGCGCCAGCCCACAGCAGGTCCTGCTTTCTCGCCGGAATCCGTCTTGGCCGAGAGTCGCTCGCACACCAGGAGGTGCCCTGAGTCAGACTCGGGCACAAGCAGAACACCCTCCAGAGACCACCTGGACAACTGTCCCCGTGGAGGCCGCCTGCGCCGCCTACCGCGCGTCACTCACTCCGCGCTCACCCACGCGCTCCCTCTCGCCCATCTCGCGCCTCCTAAGCCCTGTCTCTATTTCACAGAATCTGCTGGATTCCTCCTTCAAAGAAGGCAAGGATCGGGGCCCTGCTTCCAGCCACCCCACCGCTGGAACCGGACGCCGGGAAACCCCCCCGGCGCTCAGGGGAGCTGCCGCCGCCGTGACCACTGCCCGCTCCCATCACAGGCCTCTCCCCTTACGAGAGGCTGCGTCTTAGGGACCTCAGCCGAGTCCTCATCCTTCTCTCTCTCCTGTCTCTGTGACGGGCGACTTACTAAACAGTTCAGCCCTCGGTGTCTAGTGCATGCTGGGTGCTCAGCTAATGCTGAAAATGAATGAATAAGCATGCTTGCCCCAAAATACAGTAAAAATAAAGATTACATTCTTGAAGGACAAGGTTGTGCAGCTAAACCACCAAGGGAGGCTTAAGCAACGGCTGTTTCGATGAAATGTGACAGCGCTCAGGTTTCCTCGCTGCTCTCCGAGGCAAGAACAGCCCCGCTGAGCAAACTTCGGGAAGCGGGCCAGAACCACAGAGGCCCAGCGATGCCACAGACCCCCAGTCCCCAGCATGTCGGCGGGAGTAATCGTGGAAGTGGAACGGGACATTCTGATGGTAGTAGAGAAACAGGATTTTGGTTTTTTTTTTAATTAGTATTATCAAAAACCACTTGCTTCCAAAACAGTATTTTTGGATGCTTTCTCTGCCCCTTTCCAAACCTGTTGAAAATTTAAAACAGTGCTTATGATTCTCTAATAGGAGAATCGTCTCCCAACATCATCCCCCTCTGCCTCCAGAAACATTTCTTTTTTTATGGCTGCACCTTTTGGCTTATTTTTAATTCCAGTAGCATGCCTTTGAGTTAAGAGAACTTTGCCTGCCTGAGCTAAAGAACAACGTCTCTTCGACAGTGAAATGTGAGGAAAGTATAACCGTTTCCTCTCCTATATCTGTGATAGTTACATAAAAGCATTTATGCTTGAAAACATTATCCCCCAAGTGTAAATCTCTGCCGCGTTTCCAAGCTCAGGATGGTTGTGGAAGTCTCCGCTGTGTGCATTCCCAAGGAAAGGTCTTATCTGATTTTAGTGGGTCACAGGCCCTGAGTCAGTACTGGGGAGGGGACCAGCTGGACTGGCCGGCTGTCCAGGGATCCCTGGCAGTTGTTTTGTAAACTGGCTTCAGAGCTGTCTCTTTCTTCCTTTCCCGAGCGTGGTGACCACCCTGCTGTTTCTAAATTAGAAGCTGCAATGGGGGGCAGTGAAATGGGAAGGGGGCACCCCACCCTGGCATCAGGGGGCGTGGCCTGGCCGGAGATTTCAGACCCAGCGCCTGGTGCGGCTCCAAGGCGGAGGCAGGTTGGACTCTGTCCTGGGGCCTCTATGCTGTGCACTGGAGCCTCCGGAGGGCGAGGCTCCATCCAGGCCAGTAGACCAGCGCCCCCAGGGCGCCAGTTAGAAGCGGGTCCTTGGCCCCCCCTCAGACCCAGAGAATCAGAGACTGAGGGGTTCAGCCCGCCAGCTGCATTTCAGCAAGTCCGCCTCCAAATCTCTGGCACACGCAGGTGTGCGCGCCTCGAGGACACCTCACCGGTCTCCTTTCAGTGGGGAAGGCCTTCATTCTGTTTTGTTTAAATAATCACGGTGACCAGAGGGGCTCTGGTTGCCCCGGGACATTTCTGCAGAGACTCACGCAGGTGAGGCTTGCTCTAGGCGGCCGGCCGGGTCTGCCTGCCTTGTCTCAGCCAGGCCTCTGGCCACCTCCCTCTGGGCACAAGCTAGACAAGGTGGTTCCGGTTTCCCTGATGTTTCTGTGCTGACACAGGGGAGGATTCAGACCCATCTTTGGTATCAAGATGTCAAGGGCGCCTGAAACCCACCGAGAAGCCTCTCACTGCACATATTTGCTGCTGGAGTGTCACATGAGGCTAAGTGCTCACAAAAAGCAGACAACAATTAGTCATTCAAGGCCAAATTTGCGGCTAAGACTCCCCCTTCGAGCTCATCTGAAAATGTCCCTGGGCTTGCCATAGGAGGTGGGTTGCTATGGTGATGCTAGGAGATGAGATAGAATTTGGAAAAAGACTAGAAAATGTTGCAAGAGAAGAAAGGCTTAGAATTTAAAGGCACTTGGTCTGAACATAGGCAGGTGACATCTTCCCATAGTGTAACTGTCCTCGTAACACAAATCAAAATTTCCTAATTTGTTAGACAAAGCAGTATCCCATTTTACTGCATGACTCAGGACCCCACCCACAGGAACAAAGATCTTTGTTCTACAACATCACTCGTTACGAGCTAACTCCTACCACAAGTTCACTGTTGGCAGATATATTTGAGAAACCAATTTGCTGGACGGGATTTGCTAAATGCTGTTGCAGACACCCCGAGGCTGGGCTGCTCTTGACTTTGCGGCTGCTGCGGACAGCAGGACCGCAGTTTCCAAGGACTGTCCCTCAATAAGCACAGAGTTACATTTAATCACAAATTTAACGTAAACGAATGCAATCAGGTAATTACAATGTGCAGTGGCATGGTATTACAAGACAGAGCAGTGCGCTTATAACGTTGTGTAAAATTAAAAATTCATATTGAACTTTGTAATAAAAAGGCAGTGTTCAGCGAAAGCAGATGATTTTAAAGTTCAACATCTTGATCACTTCAACATTTCATTTATGAAATGCTGTGTTTAGCCAATACTTTTAACAATTTGCTAAATATGTTTTGTAAAAATCAAACAATTTCATAGTTAGTGGAGTGCTAAAAAAGCCCTAGGATCCATTCTCTTGGCTGCATATAGCTCAAACAGCTGAAACCATTTTAAGAAGAGGCTTCATTATAAATCATTGAAAATAGGGATTCAGAAGGGAAATGCTGACACAATCCTTTCCTGCAAATGAGGCCCTGAAGCGCCAACCGGATTCTTGACGTGACCAAGTGACAGGATGCGACGTGCCGGCTCAGCCCCAGTGACGCTGATGGCCCTGCCCGCTGAGGGCCAGCCACGCGGCGCGATCCGGGGGCTCCGAGTGAAGTGACCCAGTGGAGTTGCACCCATGTTTCCAAGCGTGTCTGTGTCGACATCCTGATGATGGTGGTGGCTTTTGAGGGCTTCCAGGAGTTGGAGCTGTCCTGAGGCCCGGGGGTATCTGGGGGCCGGGTCTGCAGCATCCCGCTCCCTGCTGCCAGAGCCCTCAGACCCCCATCCGCTCCCCGTGGGGCCTCCTGAGAGGCTTCATCCGGGGAAACACTGATGCAGACACACCCTTGGGGAACCACTAGTGTCTGCGGAAGCGTCTCCAGATCCCGGCAGGGCTGGGGCCAACACTGGGCTGATGGAGGCGTGGCCGGGGCCCCTGGAGAGGATGGGGGCTGGGCACACCCCCGAAGAGAGGGGGGCTGGTTGGCACAGCGGGGAGGGAGCAGGTCCTGAGGTCTGGGGAGGGGCGGGGTCCCGGGGACGGAGCAGACCATGGAAGGCACGTCCTGAACCTCTGAGCGTCTCTGCTGAATTCAGAGAAGACCCCACAGGGTCGGTATCAACACGCCGACCGTAGACGAAGGCGGTTTTTCTGATAATCGTTGGATAAGTCTCCATGTGACCTGGTCTTCTCCTTCGGGCTGTGTGATGGGAGGTCACCTTCCTACCCACCGCTGCGTCAGGGATGGCCACATGACTTGTTCGGTCACTGCACGTGAGTACGGGGGACGCGTGCAGTGAATCCTGTCGGCGACCGCACTTTCCATCCCAGATGTAGCGGCCATAACCCCGCACTGAGGGCCCCTCTGCCAAGCACTCTGAGCGCCTGTGACCTGCCCTGGGATCACACAGAGCCCAGCACCCTCCTGGGTGGGCGCTGAGACTCAGGACATTTGCTGTGACAGCTTAACCCGGCCTCCCTGATTCATGCAGTCTGTGCCTCTGGTTGGGCTGTCAGTTCTGACAAGGAGAACTGGATCTTCTAATTGATGTGTGTGTACTTTATAACACTTGCTATAAATGGCATAAGCTAAATTCTGCAGCTCTAACAAACAATACATACCTATCCAGTGCAACTCTTTAAATGAATGGTGAGTGCATGCTAAGTCACTAAGTCGTGTGTTACTCTGTGAGACCCCATGGACTGCAGCCCACCAGGCTTCTCTGTCCATGGGATTCTCCAGGCAAGAACACTGGAGTGGGTTGCCATGCCCTCCACCAGGGGATCTTCCCAAATGAATGGTACACAAATTTAAAGATCATCTTAAAAATGGACGGGTGACGGGGACTTCCTTGGTGGCCTGTTGGTTAAGACCTCACCTCCCGATGCAGTGGGTGTGGGGTCGACTCCCAGTCAGGAATCGAAGATGCCACATGCCTCTTGGCCAAAAAACACAAAACACAAAACAGAAATAGCATTGTAACAAATTCAATAAAGATTTTTTAAATGGTCCACGTTAAAAAAGAAAAAAGCACTTATAATAATGGATGAGTGGGCACAAAGTTTTTCAAAAGCATCCTTATAACAGGAACGCCCGGATCTGGTTCTGAGGCACAGCCCTTCTGCTAGGACGGGCCCCCCGTATCCGGGGCCCCTGTGTGACTGGACGACCATCTCCACGTGACTCTGGTCCTGTGAAAAGCAGAGCAGAGCTGCCCGTGCGGACTCAGTGTCCGCTCGGTCAGGGCGGGGCCATGCTCCAGCACAGCACCTGGCTCCCAGGGTGGGGGGACCCCTCACGAGCCCGCTGGCGTTTAGGAGGGAGCTTCGGGGTCTTAGACTGCTGGGCCTCGCTGTCTGACTGGCCTTCATGCTGGATGCACGGGTTCCGCGTGCAGCCAGCAGGACCTGCGAGGGTCCTGGTGTGTGGAACGTCGGCCCCACCAGGGGCCAGAGGCAGCAGTGTCTGTGGCAGGATCTGTGTGACTGCCCTCCTGCGTTTGGAGTATTCCCTGAAGGCTCAGGTGGTAAAGAATCTGCTTGCAATGTGGGAGACCAGGGTTCAATCCCGGGTTGGGACGATCCCCTGGAGGAGAAACCCTCCTGCCAATGCAGGAGATGCAAGAGACCTGGGTTCGATCCCTGGGTCGGGAAGATCGCCTGGAGGAGGAAATGGCAACCCACTCCAGTATTCCTGCCTGGAGAATCCCATGGACAGAGGAGCCTGGCAGGCTGCAGTCCAAGGGCTGGCAAAGAGTCAGAGAGGACTGAGTGAGCATGCATCCTGTGTTGAGTGCTGGCATCAGTCTTCACAGTATTTAACCTGCCAAGGGGTAAGCCCAGGACCCAAGCCTCCCCAAAGCAGAGTCCGCTCCTAACACCCAGCCTGGCGAGTGGGGTCAGGACCCCTATTATGACATCAGGCCACTCTGTCTCCTGGAAGAAGTGGATGCTTATTGTTACAAGGAGAAGCCCTTGAGGGATGAAGAGGGGTGGCCTGTACCCACCTAGGGGGACAAGTCCCACGGGGGATGGAAGTGGGGTGCTGGTCCCTGATGGGGGCCCGCTGGGTCTGTAGCCACCTCACCCACCTGTCCCCGCTCGGCTGAGGGGCTCTGACAGCGGTGGGCTTTGTCCCCAGCATCTGCCCTCAGCTGCAGGCGGTGCCCTTGGCCCAGGTCTGGTTTCAGCAGGTGCCAGGCCCGCGGGGGCAGAGACAGGGGCGCATTCATTCCAGTGCAGCCACCCCAGCACCGCTCATCAAAGTGCAGCGGGGCCTCCCTGTCCACTCGGGTGCGGTCCTGCCTGGCACAATGATTTATTCATGTCTCTGCAAAGAGGAGTATCATGTGGGTTCATTGTGTGATGGATTTCAGCTCCTCTGAATGGCTGTGCTGGGGCGGGGACCCGTCAGAGGCTGGGGCCCTGGGAACGGACACCCAACACCGAGGCTTCGTGGGAACGCTGTCCCCAGGGGCGCCCACCTGAGTGGCTGGGAGGTGGCCAGGGCCGAGTCATGGGCCTGGCTCCGCGCATCGGGGTCAGCAAGACCTGTTCTCGCCCACCGCTGTTGTCCAGGGAAGGACGCCCTCTGGACAGGTGACTTGAGGCCTGGGGAGGAAAGGCCAGGCCCAGACATGAGGGTCACAGCCCCGCCCTGCAGGGGAGAACCTGGCCACCCGCCGCAGGAGCCGTCGCCTCCGTGTGCGTGTTGGTGGCCCTGGGTGGCCCCAGGGCAGCCCTAAAAGTCAGCGGCGTCCAACCAGGACAGAGCTACTCCTGCTTGCTGGTTTGATGGTGGTCCTACATAGAGTGACCATGATCGGGCCACGTTTTCCTTCCAGCCTGTGCTCTGAGAACGTGGCTGCTGAGGGTGTGGGGAGCGGGCGAAGACGTGACCCTGCAGAGAAGGGGGAGCCCCTGGAAACCGGCTGTAAGTCCCCCCTAACCCGCAGGTCCCGTGCTGACCACGAGCCTTGCCTGTGAGAGTCAGGTGAGCAGAGGTGGAGGGCTGCCACCCCGGGCTTCTGGCCACTTCCTCAGGGTGAGAGTTGGAACCTGGCTCCTGAAAATGGGCTGAGAATCCCACTTTCAACGGTCCCCAGGCCAGCTTAAGGCCCTCGGGGAGCTGGGCTTCCAGAACCTCTTCTCCACAGTGAGCACCCCAGTCCCTACATCCTTCCCCATCCTAATGCTCAGCTTCCTGCTGCGTTAAAAGACAAACAGAAAGGAGAAGAAACAGAAGCAGGGGGAAGGAGAAGAAAAAGGTGCGCTTTTTTTCCATCATAAAAGGGTAACAAGGACACTGAGAATTAGGAGAAAAGGAGTGGCCTCAAGAGAAGAGAGCAGACGGAACACAGCAAACACGTGCTCCAGAGGGAAGCGTCTCGGTGAGGCGAGACGGCGAGACAGGTAAACGTGAAAATCAGGGAGGAAAGGCCAGGGCCAGTTAGCTGAAGAGTTAAGAACAAAGGAGCTCACACCAGCGATGGGCACAGAGGCCAGAGAGGAGCCCACGAGCCCACAGGCGGCTGAGCAGCTGGGGAGAGACGGGGGTCGTGTTCTCATGGTGTTTAGAAGACATTCTCAAAGGAAGAGAGAGCAGTTAATTCAAAGACGAGGAAGGAGAAAGGCCATGATGGACAAGGGTCAGGAGACTGGAAGGTGAGGCTGGCATTCTTCATAGATCTGGGGGTCTGGCAGGTCTGGGGGACGTGCTCCCTCCGGACACAGAGACACCTTGGGGGCAGGGGCCAGGCAGGCAGAGGGACACAGGATGCCTGCCCCCGGGACTCCTGGGCCCTTATTTCCGAGAGGACGTACCCTCTCTGCGCTCGGTCGGGCTGGATGCGTGACCATCAGCACCGATTCGAAACCGCCCCGGTGGGGGGGCATCCAGGAGCAGACTCCGGGCTGTCCCGGGGACCCATGCAGCAGGCAGATGCTCTCACAACACCTTCTCCCTGACCGGACGGGGCAGGTAGAGGTGGCAGGGTTTCTAGTTTTTCTAAGTGTGTCCACTCTAACGTCCCTCTCTTACAGATTCCACGCTCCCACCTTTGCGGCCCCAGCAGCTGAAGAACTGGTCAACTGTAGTAAGCAGGTGTTCCCTTTTAGTGCAAATCAAACTAACAAGTGCATCTCGGAAGCCCAACAGGTAACACTTGGCAAAGTGCACGAAAGCTGAGACCTCAGGGTCACGCTGCGCGGCTGGGGGGGACATGCGCACAGGCCGTGTCCGGTTACGGGCCGAGCCCCGACTGTCGGGAACCTTCATTACTGTTGCGGCAACAACTGTCAGAGCAGGATGGAGCTTCTTCAGAAGGACCACAGAAGAGGGAGGAAAATGCCCTAAAACCTTGACAGAGAAAAGGAGCATTTTATTCTCAAATTACTGCTGTTGGCAGCAAGGGGCTTCGTATAAATTACAGTTCGACTTCCCAGGAGGTGTTCCCACCGCTGCACTGTGGGCTGTGTGCGTAATCGCAGCACGGAGATGAGCAGGTCGCCAAGTGCAGACCTGGCGTGAAGAGCGAACTTGGCTGGGAGCCTGCTCCAGACCCCTCCCTCGGGGGACACGGGGAAGGGGAGAGGAGGGGAGGGGGAGGGGAGAAGAGGAGAGGGAGGGGGAGGAAGGGGGGAGGAAGGGGAAGGGGAGGGGGGAGGGAGGGGAGGAAGGGGGAGGAAGGGGAAGAAGGGGAGGGGAGGGGCAGGGGGGAGGGGAGGAGGGGGGCTCAGAAGTGAAGAGGAGACAGGTGGGGAAGGTGAGCCCCATGTTCCGGGTGGAGGGCCGTCAGTCTTGTCCCTGACGAGCCCTGAGGACAGTCAGCCGCCCCAGCCCCACCTCCGTGCAGGCGGGAGGGCCTCCCTGACATCCACCTCTGACTGTAATGAGGGCCAGCCCTTCGCCCAGGAAGGCAGTGGCCAGAGGACCATGTGGAACTGGGTCTGCAGCCCTGAGGCCCGGCAGCACGACCTCACCCTTTGGACTTCCTGAAAAGGACCCTGCACATGGGGCTGAGAATCCGCACAGGAGATGCTCTTGGTCCAGTCCAACCTGGGCGAGGAAGTGGGAGGGACTTGTCTAACCAGACTTGGCTCCTTCTGGAATGGCCATCTGACGTGGGGCTGTGGCTCCCTCTGCCTCGCTGCACCGAGGAGCGGGCGGCCTCTGACCCGGGCGGCAGGTCGCCCCGACGGTCCCTGAGCACGGCTCGCGGAGCAGTTTCTCATGACGCTGTCGGGGACGGGTCTTCCTCAGAGCTCAGAAGACCGTCAAGTCAAGAACCCCAGCCTGCCAGGACACCTTGGTGGGCCCTGGGGCCCCGCAGCCGCTCAGGACAGAGAGAGGACCCGCAAGGTCCTCCACCTTTGGGGGAGGGTCTGGTCTGGAGACACGTCCGGCATCGGAGGGGCTCGAACCTCAGAATTTCTGGTGAGCGGTGAGGTGGGGAGCCAGGCGCTGCCCTCCCCCTTCCTGAGAAATTCTTCCCAAAGCCATGAAGCAGAGATGGCGTCTTACACCCCCGGCTCCATGTTTCTGCGGCTGCCCTTGAGGCTGTAATTGGGATCAGTTTAAGGAGCACTTATGGGCACCAGCTGTATGCACCGTGCTAGATCTCAGAGCTAAGCAGGAGGCTGCCTGTCCTGAAGGCTTCCGTCCTGGCGGGGGAGGCAGACCCAGGGCCCTGAGGCCGGCACTGCATGGACTGGGCTCCTCAGAGCCGAGCGGCCAGAGTTGCAGGAAAAGCCCGCAGCGGTGCACTGTCTGGCTGGGTGGGGTGGCCTGGAGGGGAAGGAGGCAACATGGAAGCAGGGAGGAGGTGAGGATGCTGTGGGCCAGCTGGGCGACAGGTGTTTTCCCACTGATGGAGCAAGAGGGGCAGGTCTGGGGACACTTAAGATTTAGATCAATGCTTCCCATCCCATGTTGGAATGTGGACACTAAAGCATCTCCATTTTCCTGCGTAAATCCGGGGAGAGTCTGAGAGACGGGCCTGGCACTCATCCAACACACCGCATTTTCTCCCTGGGTCTCTGACAGCCTTTGTCCCCAGCCTCGCTGGGGGCTCAGACAGTAAAGAGTCTGCCTGCAATACAAGAGACCCTAGTTCGATCCCTGGGTGGGGAAGATCCCCTGGAGGAGGAAATGGCAACCCGCTCCAGTATTCTTGCCTGAAAAATCCTGTGGACAGAGGAGACTGATGGGCTACAGTCTAAAGGGTCACAAAAAGTCCTACATGACTGAGCAGCTGACACATTCCTACATTCCCCGGGGCCAGGACAGGGGCCAGAGCTCCAGCCAGGGGACCCTGGACGCTGTGCAGAGCAGGTTCCTACCTCACCCCTGAGATGCCGCACATCCTGGACTGCGTAGGAGGGTGAAGCCAAGCTGCTGCCGCATGAAAGCCACCAAAACGCTGGGGTCGCTAACACAGCTCTTAGTTTATGCAACTGCTGCAGCCAGGAAGGGGGAAAGAATGGGGGGAGGGTGGGGGAGCAGGGAGACCCCAAATCACAGCTCTGCCTCTCTCCTGCGTGTCCAGCGTCTGTGCCCGGGAACCTGCCGTGGACCAGAGAGCAGACCGCAGGGGACTGACGTGCGCTGCCCACTCAGCTGCAGGAAGGACACGCTCTCTGGACTCACGGAGGTGAGGGCGGAGGCGGCCTGTCTGCAGGGTGAGGATGGGCGGATGGGGCACCAGGCTTAATGGGCGGGAGGCGCCGAGGGCTGCAGCCCTGTCTCTGAGATGGGGTCAGACTCCAGAGGAACCGCTGCCCACGAGCGTGGCCCCGGCACACACCCAGGACACGCCGCTGACCTCTAGCACAACCTGCCCTGGGGGCGTCCGCTGCCCCCGCAGCTCCATCCAGCTTCCCCCGCCGCTCCCCATCCGCGCAGAGGACATTTAACAGCGGGGTGTTCAAAGTGCTCTCGCCGGCAAACCCTTGCGGCAGGGCTGTGACTGGGCTGGCAGGAGAAGCGCTAAAAATACTCCTGGAGGAGCTCCCGCGGCGCGGGGAGCTGCGGTGGCCAATTACGGGGGCGGCGCGGGGGGTGCGGCAGGGCTGCCTGCAGGGAGGGCGGGCACGCGTTCCCCGCAGGAGGAGGACGGGGTCTGGCCTGGAGCGCGCTGCCCCGCGGGTGTGGGCTGGGGAAGCGTTTCCTCAGCGACAGCAGAGGGGCCCAGCTCCAGAGCCTGTGGCCCCCTGAGCTGCGGGGAAGATCTGCTCCTCCTAAGCAGCAGCCACGGGTGGGTTCTTTTCCTGACAAATCACGCTGGTTCAGATCGGCTGCTTCCCTCCCCACTCTCACCCAGGGCTCAGGATAGCAGCGCTGAAACCGCGGCTGGCGGGCGTCCGCTCCAGGCTCTGCCTCACCTTCCTCCTCGCAGGCTGGGGTCCCGCCTGTGACTCCTGCTTTCCCGCACCCAGGGTCCAGGTGCTCCCCTCGCACCCTCCCCACTCAGATGCCATCTGTCCTGCCGTCTCCGAGCGTGAAAACACGCCGAAGGCATCCAGACCTGCACCAAACTATTCCCATCGCATCTGTGGCTTCTCTGCGGTCCTCTTTACCTGGGTTTTGTAACTCAAGTAGCATGAACTTCTGTTTTCCGTGAAGGGCTGTGAAACTAACACAGCCCTTCCTGAGTTTGGGGACCGGCATCTGGTGAGTGAATCATAAAGTCAGATGTGTGTGTGTGTGTGTGCGTGCTCAGCCGTGTCTGACTCTCTGTGACCCCATGGACTGTAGCCCACCAGGCTCCTCTCTCCATGGGATTATCCAGGCAGGAGTACTGGAGTGGGTTGCCATCTCCTTCTCCAGGGGAATCTTCCCAACTCAGGGATCAAATCCACAACTCCTGCACATCCTGCGCTGGCAGGCAGATTCTTAACCACCGTGCCACCTGGAAAGAGCATAAAGTCCGATAGGGCAACAGACCGCACACAGGTCTGCAAGAGACATGTTTACTGAGACCATGTCGGCTGTGAGGGCTACCAGTGAAAAATGCCCCATGTGCTCATTGTAAACACTGTCTCAGCAAGAGAAAAAGGACGTGATTTGACAAGAGTGTGAACAGCTAGTGCCTACGAATTGGAAGGACTCCAGCCGGGGCCCCAGGCTCTGCCTCAAAATTGTTCTGTTCACCCTCTCCCAACACAGGGCCTGGGGAAATCTGAAGAGGACTGAGCCAGGAATGATTGATGACAAAGTCAAGGCCGGAGTCCTTGAGACACGTGGGACCCTGGCCTGGACCCTGGAGAGCTGAGCACCTTGCAAGAGAAGACATGCAGTCCTCCTCGCCGCTCTGCACTCAGGGACGGTGTGGCGGTGGCTGGAATCCGACAGATGGACATGGATTCATAGACAAAGATGCGTAGACACGGATGCTTGGGTGAATTCATAGACAAAGACACATAGAAACGGATGCATGGGTGGATTCATAGACAAAGATGTGTAGGCACGGATACATGAGTGAATTCACAAAGATGTGTAGAAATGGATGCATGGGTGAATTCACAAAGACACGTAGACATGGATGCATGGGTGAATTCATAGACAAAGACATGTAGACACAGATGCATGGGTGGATTCATAGACAAAAACGCATAGACACGGATGCATGGGTGGATTCACAGACAAAGACGCACAGACACGGATTCATGGGTGAATTCATAGACAAAGACATGTAGACACAGATGCATGGGTGGATTCATAGACAAAAACGCATAGAAACGGATGCATGGGTGGATTCACAGACAAAGACGCACAGACACGGATGCATGTATGTGGACACACTTTATGGGTGCCGGGACCACGGAAACAGGCACGCTCTACATCAGGGCTCTCCCCAGCCTGCCAAGAGCCAGTTGTAAGGCATTTACCAAGTACGCCTCAACTAAAAGCCTTCTCTATCCTTAATTCAAGTGGGCTGTTTTACTGGTTCTGGTTCTCACTTGAAACTCCTGCAGGATGGCCTGTCCCATAGCCGACCTTGGGATCTGACATGTGTCTGCTGCCTTGCCTTGTCCCTGCAGGTCTGCTGAAGTCACCGTATGTCGGGCAGCTCTTCCCCCCCAGTGAGGGAAGGACGACCCCACTTCTCTCCCTGTCCCCCGCGAAGTCAGCCTCTGACACGCTGAACCCAGTGTTGCACCTTATTCCTCCCAAATAACTTCCCACTGCTTCTCTGCAATGCTCCATCACTTATCAGCTTTATGGCCTTGATAGTCTTGTAACCTTTACATGCCTCATCAGAATAATGACTTATAAATGTGAATAATAATACTAACTTGAAATTATGGTTGAGAGACTGAAATTACACACGGACATGAAAATTACTTATGTTTAGTGGCTACCTGTGGTTTTTAGAGATAACTAATCAATTTCTCATAAAAATACATCAGAATATCACGTAAAATTCAAAGGTGAGAGACAGTAAATAAAACACAGGTCTAGATTCAGAGAAATGAAGTTGATCTGAAAAGCCATTAGCAATTTGGACCTTGACAAAATGGGTTGGTGTATGCCTTAGTTCATGTGGAAATGATTTACAGATAGATGTAGGACACTTTATCTGGTGGACCCAGTCAGGGAGTTTGCCAGCACCTTAAGTACAGGTATTGCAGGGTTTGGACCAGCCTTGATTCTCCAGGGCTGTGCTGACTGTCGTGATGCTGGTAATGACCCCAGCTAACCTTATCAACTATCTATTATGTAAGCCACGGACCACAGACACTCCGATTCCTCCTTGCTGTGCATTTTCTCATTTAACGGTCATAACTTTACTCTTGTGTAAGAAGCAATTTGACTGGTTGTGTCCCGGCTGCCCGGGGATAACATTTAAGCTGCTGCAAACTGATGCTTTTGAACTGTGGTGTTGGAGAAGACCGTTGAGAGGCCCTTGGACTGCAAGGGGATCCAACCAATCCATCCTAAAGGAGATCAGCCCTGGGTGTTCACTGGAAGGACTGATGCTGAAGCTGAAACTCCAATAATTTGGCCACCTGATGCGAAGAACTGACTCACTGGAAAAGTCCCTGATGCTGGGAAGGATTGAGGGGGCAGGAGGAGAAGGGGATGACAGAGGATGAGATGGTTGGAAGGCATCACCGACTCGATGGACATGAGTTTGAGTAAACTCCGGGAGTTGGTGATGGACAGGGAGGCCTGGTGTGCTGCAGTCCATGGGGTCAAGAAGAGTCAGACACGACTAAATGACTGAACAGACTGAATTTCCCTGGAGACACAAGTGTCTCTGGTCCTCCAGAGGCCCTGGAGGGCTTACACTGAGGAGGTGCTCGGAGCGGGGTGGCCATGCCAGCAAGGCTGACCGAGTGAGGTCAGCCTGCCCTCTGACCTCTATGAGAGGCACAAGGCTGAGATGGCATTCAGTCTATGTAGGGACCAGTGAAAACTCTGGGCGAGACCGCATCCACGTGCCACGAGGGTGGGTGATGCCCCAGCTCCACGGGAGAGGGCCCTGGGGCCACCCAGACCTCCCCGTGTGCCTCTTCCTTTGGTGGACCCCGATTCGTGTCCTGGAAAGCAGAGCTGCAGACAGAGTGCTTTTCTGGTTCTGCGAGTCACCCTGAATTATTGCCCCCAAGGACGCCACGGGAACCCTGGGATTTACCGCCTGTGGTCAGAAGGGCGGCGGACTGAGGCTCGAGCCTGGAGTGTGAGTGGCACCTCTGCCTTTAACCCGCACAGCTGGCCGCTGCCTCCAGGCCAGGACACGTGGCTGCCCACCAGTGGGGCCCCCAGGCTGATGAGAGAGCAGACAGCCAGAGAGGCCAGGCAGTGAGCACCAGATCCGCTTTGAGTTGGTGACATGGCTGACCCACGTCCACACTGCGGGGACCTGCGTCTCCGGGGAAACGGCGTTTCCTCTGGACCACGCCTGGGCGTGCAGACCAGGAACACGAGAACAGAGGGCTGCCCGCAGAGAGCCTCCCAGCCGTGGGAGCAGACGTGCTTGCTCAGTGAGCAAGGGTCTCCCCAGCGTACTGTGCAGGGGTCACGGGCCACAGTGGATGCCGTCTCCCACCTCGGCCCGAGTGATAAAGACGGGGGTCTCAGGGTCACAGGAATGTCAAGAAAAGGACACACGTGGCCAGTGGGCAGAGGCGGCCTGTCTGCTGTGAGGAGGGTTTTGATTTTTCCCCCTTTCCTGTGCCCGCGAGGATGTCCAAGCTCCCTGCAGCCGTGTGTGGTGTCCTCACGCTGGGCCGAGTGCCGGCCTTTGTTTATTTTCCTTCACGCCCCGTGGGTTCAGCTTTAACTCAGAGTGTGCCCCCGGATGCGATCGGCGTGTTTTAACCCGGGGACGGAGCTGAAACGCTGCCTCGGCAGGATCTGCCGGCTCTTGAACCGTCTATTAAGCCCCGAGAACCTGATATTAAGCCGCTCTTTGAGTCTCATCCAGGCGTAATGCGCGGCTCGGCTGAGAGGCTAGCATGGGGCGAGGCTGCACAGGGTGTAATCACAGCCATTCCCATGCGTCGGGCAGCCAGGCCTGCAGTCCACGCCTTTGGCCGCAGGCAGCTCGCCGGAAGGACCGAGGGGACCCCATCCTGGCCTTCGGAGCACGGCCACGGCAGAGGGACCCGTGGCCAGCCGTTCCCATGGGGGACTGGATGCTGGCCCCCAGGAGGGGCCCCTGCTCAGGGTTGGTCGGAAAAGTCAGCATCTCTGGGAACACTGTCGCTGCTTGCAGCCCTTCCCAGGCGGGTGCCTACAAGAAGGGGCCCCTGACCCCCACCTCCCTTGAGATGTGGACTCCTGAGTCCGGGCCCCCAGGGCCTGGTCCTTCCCTCGGGACTGCAGCCCCAGGCTGCCCTCTGGAAACTGTGGGAAGGCCCGGGAAGTTTCAGTCGTGGAGGGCGAGGTGCCCCCCGGATAGCAGAGGTGGATTGGGCAGAGGGTGGCTTTGCTTCTGTTGTCTTCATGAGAAAACCCAGGCCAGGGGGCCCCTGAGTCTGCGATGGGACTTGGCCTGGGGCAGGCACCTGCGGGCTGGACTTGGCCGCCGCCCGGAGGCACAGGGCGCAGCCCTGCCAGGGCAACTTGACTCTTTCCGACGCTGCAGATGCCGCTGACTCGGCAGCTCCTGCTCGGAGGGGGGCATCTCTAGATGACTGTCAGCCAGACGCCATCCCACAGGCCACCAGCCAGGAAAGCTGAAGATTTCTGAGGGCCAGGCTGATGTCGGGGTTGGAAAAGGTGCATTTTCAAATAACGTATCCAAGAGGGGTGGAATTAAAAAGCAAGCCTTAATGGTAGCCCTGGATTTAACCAATTAAGAAGGAAAGCCCCGTAATAGCGACGGTGGCACTTGGACAGATCAATCAGTGTGACACACGCATCCCTCCCAGTGATTGGCAGGACGGAGGGTGCAGGGCCGGCGGGCATGAGTCACCGCAGTGGGGTGTTCACGGGTTTTATTATGCTTGCAGTGTCTGCTCACGTAGCAATTGCCCTCGACCCCAAATGAATCTTGCGTATGCCATCTTCTCTGCTTGATCAGCCTCTTCTACGCAGAATGGGGCACAAATGTTTGAACGTCCCTGCCTGACCCTGTCAGCAGCCATCTAAGCTGATGCCTCCACCCGGATGCTAACTTCCTGGGTGTGCAGCGGGGCTTCCAGAGGGGCAGCTAAAGCCCGCCGGTCAGTGTGGCTCAGGCCTGCATCCCAAGGCTCCCCCAGAGTTTTCAGTTACCCTCCTGAGCAGCAGTGGGTCCAGAGTTCTTGAATGATCTAGCAGATGGGGGGCAGGCTCTGGTCAGACGCAGATCAGCAACTGGTGCCAGCCCTGGACCTCGTGTTTAGTGGGGATTTGTCCAGAGCTTGCCACAGGAAAGCCAGCTCTCTCCTGTCAGAAACTGTCCAGCTTTCAGTTTTAAATCCAGCTAACGTATCTATGGGAATTGCCTTTTTATATGCCTCTTTGGCTTTTGTGATGCATTTTATATGTCATTTAAAATGTAGGCTTGTGGTCGTGGTGGGTGGTTTAGTCAGTAAGTGTTTGACTCTTCTGCAACCACATGAGCTACAGCCTGCCAGGCTCCTCTGTCCACGGGATTCTCCAGGCAAGAATACTGGAGTGGGCTGCCATTCCCTCCAGTGGAATTTGCCAACCCAGGGATCGAACGCGGGTCTCCTGATTAACAGGCTGCCTCTTTAGCAACTGAGACACCAGGGAAGCCGCAACATGTTGGCTTAAGGAAGATGCATCTCGACATTTCAGAATTAATTTCTGCCTCCAAGGCCCTGGTGTCCCAGACTCCCGCACCCACCTAGTCCTCCTGCTGAGGTTCCTAGAGGCTCCGATAAGTGAGGGCTTTGCCCCAAGGCACCCCGCTGGCAGATTTCAGCACCCCCAACTCACTGCTGCCCTCCCTGGAAGGAGCCAGCCCCGGAGCCGGGACTCAGAGTCCCATGGCTCTCAAGTCGGATCAGCTCTTGTTCTGCCAGGATGTGTGGGAGAAGCCTCCTAGGCTGTTGCTACCCAACAAGGACCGGTCCTCTGTCTCGTGGCGTCTCGTGGCCACACCCGCACCAACCCCCCTACCCCGGCCCAGGCCGCCTCTGCCTCCATCCCCCTGCCTCCGCGCTGCCCGGGGTGGCCCACCAGCCCTGTGGCTCTGTTCTCCCCCTAGTCCGTGCTCACGTCCATGCTCCCCTCTGCGTCCACAGGCCGCTCCTCTGCACCCCGCCGGGCCTTGCTGGTCCCCTGAGGGCCCCTGGGAGGGCCGCCTGCCCTGGGGACGCCCCATGTGGACCCTGCAGAGCTGCCAGCCACCTGTCCCAAGAGCTGGCTCCGACCCAGCTGGACCCTGGAGCTTCCCTGCTCCCCTCCGCTAACGTCTTACCCCCAACAGTCCCTGCGTGCTCCCCTGCCCCGAGTTCCCCTTGCAGGCAGCTTCTTGGCCTCCTCGCTCCTGTAGACGGGGGAGCTCCCTGTCTCTCCTACTGGCACCTCCCGGGGCCCCGGCCAGCCCTGACCACAGGCTTGGTCACGGGTGTCCCAGGAGAGGCCGTGTGTGTGCACCACGGCGTGAACACGGCGGCTCAGACAGCGACCCGCTTTCTGCCTGCGGGGGAGGGGCGGGGTCGCCGGGGGGTTGGGGGGCAACACTCCCAGGTGGGCACACTCATTGCTGCTGCTTCCCACCGAGGAGCCAGGCCCGGAGCGGCAGGGCATGCCCCTCGGACCCCAGAGCCCGCTCCAGACCCCGGAGCGCCCAACACAGGGTGTGGGTGTCGCCAGGCGCTGGTCTCAGGCCCAGGTGGGCTCCGGGCCTGGGCACCAGGCTCTCACTGACTAAGCCCACCTGGGCCCCCGCCCCAGAGGGGGCCTGCTTCCGCCAAGCTGACTGTTCACCGACCACACTCCCCTTTGTCTCCTGCAGATTCCAGAGGTTGAAAGGCGTGGGTTTGTAGGAGAAGCAGAAATGCAAGTCGGGAGAGTCCTGCCCTGCAAGGGGGGGCTGTAAACAAGCTCCTTCCCCAGGCAGCTCAGCTCGCAGAGCCTGGTCCCTCGCCTACGCACCTAAAATAACGACCCTTGTTAGCACATTCATAGCAGCAGCTCCACTACCCAGGACCAGCTGAAGGCCCGGCAGGTGGTGGGGCCTGGGGTGGCCTTGCTGCCCCGTGGCTCCCGGGAGATGAAGACCAGCTTTCTCCCCAAGGCGAGGGCCGCCCTACACAGGGAGAAGGTGTTCTTACTCTAATTACGCTGGTAATTAGGTCTCAGGTCTTTGAACTTTGACCTCGGAGCTCCGGCCTCTGGGGAGTCACGTGGGATGAGGCTGGGCCTGAAGCTTCACTGTGGCTTGGGCCTGCTCGGGGCTCCCGGGGAGGGTTTGTGTGCATTGATGTGTTTGCTTCGTCCCGCCTGTAAACTGCTGGCGTCCTTGTGTTCCGTGCCCCGTGCACACTGCAGGCTGGGGCTGGGCCCTCGCCCTCGCGGACTGAGCTGGCAGCCTGCAGGCGCTGGCTCCTCTGTACCCCGCGGGTGCCCGGGTCTGAGGAATCCCTGCAGCAAAGACCCGGAGGGGGCTGTGGGTGCATTTTGTTTGGAGGTTCTGCTCCCCTGTGTGCATTTGAATAAGGGTGTGTCTCAGATTTGGCAGCAAATTCTTTCATATCAAGATTTTCAAAAATAAAATGAGCCGGGTAATCTGGCTGATTAACAAAGTGGTTTCTACAAAGTGAATTATGGCGTCGACTACACGCCGGAGAAAACCCTCTCAGTCGTTGCATGTTTCCCCAGAACAAATTAGTCCGTGTGGAGGGTTGAGTATAAATGGGCTTCTCAGGCTGTGAACAAACTGTGGGACAGTGTGGGCACACAGATCCAACCTCCGCCAACACTGTTAAAGCATCCACTGGGCGCTTCCTGCAGGCTCAGTGCTGTGTGGGCACCCTGGGGACAGAAATGACAGTGGCACTGAGCCCCCAGAGATGGCACATGTGCCCACGCCTGTTCCTCGAATGTCAGGATGCCTGTGTCCACACTGAAGTCCTGCACCTCTTGCACTCGGGACGACGGAGAAGGAGGCCGTGTCCCAGACCAGGGGAGCACCAGTGGCTGCCTGTCTGCCTTGCTCCACCTGACCTCCCGCTTTACTTTCAAGTCCTTATCCTGTTTTAAAAAGTAATTCTTATTTAAGATTATGACATTATATACATTTCTTGTAAGATCTAAGCTATATAAGGTTGTTTGGCCAAAACTTTTAAAAGAAATAAAGACTTCCAAAACAACTCCTTGACTGGAGGGATGAACAGCAAACCCATAGTGGAAAAATAAATCTGAAAATCAGAAGCACAACTATTTAAACAAAGGTTAGTGGCTGAATCCCAAACAGAACAGTGGGGACAGTCAGCTGGCCCCTCAGCAAAGACAGGGAGATGCAGTGGTTCCAGGATTTTAAGGGAACTTTTGTCTAATGACTGGAGAAGGAAATGGCAGCCACTCCAGTGCTCTTGCCTAGAAAATCCCACGGACGGAGGAGCCTGGTAGGCTGCAGTCCATGGGGTGGCAAAGAGTCGGACACAACTGAGCGGCTTCACTTCACTTTGTCTAATGATGGGCTGCCACTGAGCTAACCGAGAAAAGACCTCAGTGGCCATGTGTGACGTAAAACACAGGCCTGATAGGATCAGCTCAGGGGATGCACCAAACCAACAGCAGCATCAACAGACCCTGAGGGGAGAGAATCTGATTTCTGGAGCTGACATGTTGTGTTACATCACATGTCCAATTTTCAGCAAAAAATTGTGAGACATGCAGAGAAAATAAAAAAAGTATGGCTAATACTTAGGGGAAAAAAGCAATCAATAGAAGTTGTCCCTGAGCAGAAGCACAGACATTGGGCTTTCCAGACAGAGGCTTTAAACCAGCTATTTAAAATATGTTCAGTGAAATAAAGTAAAATATAAGAACAATGTCTTACCAAATAGAAAATATCATAAAGGGAGAGAAATTATTTTAAAAGGAATCAAATAGAAATTACAGAGTTGAAAAGTACAATAATTGAAATAAGAATTTCATTAGAAGAGCTTAACGGTAGATTAGTTCATCTCTGTGAACACAGAGGTGTATCTGCTGAAATTACCCATTCTGAAAAACAGAGCAGAAAGAAAGAAGAAAACTGGGAGAGCCTCAGAAAGCTCCCAGAGGCCACTAACACACATGTGGCCTCCAAGGCAAGTCTCAGAAAGAGGGAAGAAATGGAAGCAGGCAGGAAGAATGTTTGAAGAAATAGTGTCAATACCTTCCCAGTCAGAATGGAAACATTAATCCCTACATCCAAGGAGCTCATCAAAGTCCAAGTGAGGTAAACTCAAAGAGACTCAGCCCCCAACACACACCCCGTAGAAGGACAGAGCTGTGACGGTAACACATCACACGGAAGGACCATCCTAAGGCGACCGCCAGCTCCTCATCAGAAACCACGGAGCAGGGGCAGTGAGACACTCACTGCCCACAGAAGGGAAAGCGTCAACCCGGAGTCCTGCACCCGGCAAAACCGTCCTTCAAAGGTGAGGGCGAGGGAGACAAACGCTGAGAGCCTGTGTGGCTTGCAGACCTGCCCTGCAGGGACTGCTGGGGACCCTAGGCTTAAACTGCAAGGGTATTAGACAGCAATTCCAATCCGCACAATGGCATAAAAGCACCAGCAAAGGGAACTACAGACGTAAATATATCAGTGAGAGACCATAAAATCGTATTTTAACTCGTTTTCTCTAAATGATTTAAAGGAACATAGCATAAATAATTACAAATCTGTGGTGGCAGCAGGGATAAATACTATCTGATCAATAATTACATAAAATATGTATCAGTTTAATGCTTTAGTGTTTAAAGGCAGAAATTGGCAGAATAGACAACAATAACATGATCCAAATATGTGCTGTCTTGGCAGGTAAACTTTATATCCAAAGACATTTATAAGCTGGAAGTAAGAAGATAGAAAAAGATACACCACAGAAACACTAACCAAAAAAGAAGTGGGTTAGCTACTCTAATATCAGACAAAATAGGCTTCAAGATACCAGTTGCTCCCAGACACAAAATAGGACATTTTATAATGATAGAAGTGTTAAACTATCAAGAAAATATAAAAATTATAAATAATATACACAAAAAACACAATAAATAAAAGAAGGAAAGACTCATGGAATAGAAGAGAAAAAAAATTAATTTAACAATAACAGTCAAAGATTTCAACATCCTACTTTCAATAATGGATAGAACAACTAGACAAAAATTGATAAAGGAATAATAGATCCGAACGGCATTATTAACCACTTGGGGTTTCCTGGCCTCTGTGGAACTCTACACCCAGCTACGGCAGGACAGACATTCTCCTCGAGTGAACATGGAACATTCTCCAGTATAGGAAGCATGTTGGGCCACAGATTTCAATAAAGTCGCAATACATTAAAAAAATAATGTATACTCTGATCACAATGGAATGAAACTAGAAATCAGAACCAGAAGGAAACTTGGGGAGTCACAAATATGTAGAAACTAATCTACACACACCGAAATAATCAGTCAGTCAAAAGAGACATGATAAGGGAAATTAGGAAACACTTTGAGAAGAATGAAACAAAATGCTGCATGCTGTCACTTACGCGAGACTACTGAGGAACTCTTTTCCAGAGCAGCTGCAGCATCTTCCATTCTCACCAGTGAAGTATTAGGGTTTCAGTTTCTCCACATCTTTGTCAACCCTTATTATCTGTCTTTTTTTTTTTTTTTTTTTAATCATAGCCACTTAGAGGACGGAAGAGGTATTTCACCACGGATTTGATTTGCAGCTCTCTGACCAGCACTGATGTTGAACAAGTCTTCAGGTGTTTATTGGCCATTTGTGTATCTTTGGAGAAATTCTGTTCAGTTCCTTTGTTCATTCTTTAAGTAGACTATTTGTTTTTTTATTGTTGAGTTGTAAGACTGCTTTACATATTTGGTTGCAGACCCTTATCAGATATAAAACTTGAAAATCTTTCTTCCTATTCTGTAGGTTATCTTTTCACTTTCTTGGCAGTGTCCTTTGGACCACAAAAGTTTGCTCATTAGAAACAAGTTAGTAATATCGAGCATTGGTGGGGACACAGAGTGCTCGGAACTGTCACACACTGCGGATGTAAGGTGGTTCAGCCCGGCTGGAAAATGGCCCGGTGGCCTCTGCACTTGTTAGACGCACACTCGCCGTGTGGCCCAGCAGACCCGTTCCGAGGCGCTCGTCCAAGTGAGATGAAGACAGGTCTGCATAGGGAGCTGTCGGTGGCGTTTACAGTGGCTCTATTGTAACTGCTGAAGAGCAGAAACCCCCTAGATGGCCTTCATCTGGGGGACGGACAGCAAAGTGTGACTTCACAGAAACCGAACCCAAAGCGCAGCAGGAGGACCAGACCCCGGGCTTGGGCCTCAAGCGCTTCGTGGTGATGGGCGCGGTCTCGGACGGTGGCGTGCGGCGCTACTCCGTTACACTGCAAGAGGAAACCCGGAGGCCAGGGGCAAGGGCGGGGAGAGGTTGTGACCTCAGAGCCGTCCCTCGAGGCGTGTCCAGGCTGATGGAGCTTTTCTGTGTCTCGACAGCGGCGGTGGCCACAGGGCTCCATGTGTCGATCAACACTCACATATCCTTATGCCCCGAAGAGCGCGTTTTTACTAAATGTACATTAAAAATAAAATTTTTGAAAACTAAGAGAGAGAAGATATTCAGAGATGAGCAGTGACCTAGCGATCAACAAACTGTTCAAACATTTAATTGGTTTTCTCAGGCGCTCTCAGTCATTAGGGTGTTACCTCGACAATGGCGGTAATCGACGTTATTTATCTCCAGGGGCCTGGACCTAACGTGTTGGCCGACCCAGAGCAGATGCCCCTGAGCTGAGCCAGTTTCAGGTTCTTCTTGATTGGTTTTGACCCCCATAGTTTCTTGGTGGCTACCGTGATTACGTTTGATTTCACGGTGAGCCTATGCATGAAGGAGAGTTTGCGCACCTTTTTAACTGGAGACAATGGTGTCAACCTGGCTTGTATTCCTCCTGCTCTGTCGCACGTCTCTTGCCATTGGTTCATGTTATTGCTGTTATTATGACACACAGTATCATGAGGTTATTTTTCTAGGCGTGATACTATCTTTACTGAATCTGTTCGGATGTGAACTACAGTGCTTTTAATTATTGTCTGAGTTACAAGGTGTCTGTAAGCTCTCATGTGACTTCTGTTTTGCCAGCACTAATTAGATACTGCATAATAACCATTTTCATATTCCTAGCGCAGTAAGCTGCATTTCACAAAGGTATGAACTGCTGTGCTTGGAAAAATTTTACAAATAAGAGCGTGAACAGCAGAGCTTGGCATAGGTCTCACTCCTGTATCTTCACTGATGTCGGCGATCATAACACCTCTGCTGTTTCCAGTTGGCAGAAGCGCTTTGCTCCCCAACCTTCAACTCCCTGGTAGAAGAACTTCCGCAGGGGCTGCCCTTGAGCCCCCGGGGGCCCCCTCACCCCCTCCAGGCCGCAGTGAGGGTGTCATGATGGTGTTGCTGCGTCAGCTCTGTTACGGCCGAACCTTTGAGTCCCCCTGAAGCCTGTGAGTTGCAGCTCTAACCTCCAGGGAGGGTGTCTGGAGGCTCTAGAAGTGGTGAGGCTTAGACGAGAGTGGGGCCCCGTGATGGGACTCGTGTTCACAAGGGGACGAAACCTCCTTCTCTCTCCCTCTCTCTCCCCACTGGGAAGAGGCTGTGACAGACGCAGCGAGATGGTGGTATCTACCAGCACAGGCGAGGTTCTCACTCGGAACCGACCTTGGACTCCCAGCAGCCAGCGCTGTGCGGGGACGGTTGTTTAGCGCATGGCCTATGCTGTGTTTCATCAGCCCGAACAGACCAGGTGAACGGTGCACAGAGCGTGTGCAGGGAGGTGGGAGCCGGGTTTGCTCCTCTGTCGGGAGCCGCGTTTCTGCAGGCAAGGGGACCTGGGTTGCAGCGCGGGGTGTGGAGTATCCCCGTGGGCGCTGGGGCGGGGGGGGTGGTGTCCCCAGCACCTGTGAGGCTCCGGCGACAGCGCAGAGCTGAGCACAGGTGTGGCCCAGAGCCGGCCGCCCCGAGAGGGCGGGTGGGCAGGCGGCTTCGGTGGCTGTACGCTGCCCTGGATGCTCAGCTTCTGGCTACAGGGGAACCCAGAAACCTCGCGGGTGAACCCCAGCATCCCCCCCAGGTTGGTCTGCAGTCCCCTTTGCCTTGCTGCACCGCCCTGGGGGTCCCAGCCCAGGAGTGAGGAGCCCGCCCGGGGGTCACCCCACGTCCTACGTACATCAGACACAGAATGATCTGGACCGGCCGGGGGACGGGCCAGACCTTGAGCCAGAGGAGTCTTGTCGGGCCTTTGAAATGTTACAACACATGTTTTTCTGAATTTGAACCCGTCACAATTCCCACCATTCCCTATGACCGTGAGCTGGGCCTCCTTCACACCAACCGTATCTCAGTCTAAGACGCCTTTCACTGTAGCAGACACAATAATTTATGTCCCCTTCTGAACAAAAAATAGATTATGACACTCTGTCGGTTGTGAGGTATGTCTGGTTTTTGTATGGACTCAGATGTAAAAACAGATGTGTCTTAGAGGTAATAAGACCCAGGCTGTGGTTGTCTGGGGCCTGGTCACCCTCCAGCTCTGCGGTCCCCCTAGGGGCCCAGCTCCAGGTGGAGGCTGCCTGCAGGCTCCAGAAGGCATTGCCTGGCCTGCACAGGACCGTCTGGAAGGGTGGCAAAGGAGAGCCATCTCTCAGGAAGGGGCATCCTTGTCTGACTCTCACGCACTTCAAGGAAAGAACCTTTCATGGACCTGTTAGTGTGCCCAGAATGTTAAGTTGTGGAAATCTCACCGTCCAAAAGATTGAGGATGCCAAACAGGGCATGGAGATGTGGGTCCTCTGCAAACGACAGAGCCCACCCTGGCCAGCGTCACGGATCTGCATCCTCAACCCCAGGTTGCTGCCACTCAGGTCAGCTCTGACGAGTCCCGAGGGACCAGACGTGGCCGGCAAGCCCCGAGGGCTTTAGCGGCTCCATTTGAAACCTGATGGTCTCAGCGCTCTTCCAAGGCCGCTTGTCTCCTGGTCTTCCTGCCCGGCTGGGCCGCGGCTCCCTGTCTTATCTCACCGTGGAGATGACCCTCCCTTTAGATTCCGAGACACAGCTCTTTGCCACTGCTTCTGCGGCCCTAGTCTGCCTCCTGCGGCCCTGGCCCCCTCCCCTCCATTCCAGGCCCCAGAGCCGTGGCCCTAACGCTTCCGACTCTGTCTGTTGCCGCGGCTCCTCCGCCTGACATCAAACCCTGGCTCTCTGCTGTGCTTCCATCTAGACGAGCAGCTGCCTTCTCCTCTGGCTGCTCCGGACGGGTGACCCCCTGCCCAGCTGCCTTCTCCTCCAGCCCCTGGGGCTGCTCTCCTGGCCCCAGGACAGAGGAGGCCCATATCCTTCACCCAACAAACCAAATCAGAGAACAGCGCCCCTGGCCCTTCCCTCTCCTTCATCCGCCATGAAGCTGACCAACTACACTATGAATGTGAATCCTCAGTAGCTCTTGAATGCAGAGATGGGCCCACAAACTCCTCGAAATTGTAGGTCCTCTAACTGTATACTATGCTGTAGGTTTTTGCAAGCATGTGGTTGTGTGTTTGTGTGTGCATGTGAGCACAAATTTCTTTTTAACGAGAGGACATTTTAGGGGAGTTGTTGGTAGATTAGACAGATTGTTGAAGGACTCATAACTGTGCTGTGACTTTTGGATCATGTATCACTGAGTCAGTCTTGCTTACACAGAGCAATTATCATTTATCACCAATTATCATTTTCTCTGATTCTGTGGACGCTTTCCCTTGGCTGGAAATCCCTTTCAATGCTCATCCATCTTCGCTGGCTCTTCCCTCGGGGTGCCGTCGTGTGTCCTCTGGGCCCCCTGCCCCCTCGCAGACGTGTCTGTCACCGTCTCAGGGTGCAAGCACCGACACTGTCTGTCTAGAAAGGTCGAAACGCACAGAGGAGACGGAAGTTGTAGTGCAGCGTTTCTATAGCTTAAAAAAACAAAAAACCCAAAGTAAGCCTGTCGATCAGGCTGGAAAATCAATGACTATCCATGTAAAGTTGCCCAAAAAAGAGAAAACGCATACTGAACCGAAGAGAAAGCAGGCCGGTGTGTGATGAAAATGGAGGTTTTAAGGTGACAACTCTGTGTCACTTTCCGCCGGTGCCACTGAGGGTCTCAGAGGTGGTCTTGCATTCTCAGGAGTTTTGGCTTGTGTTCGACCCACGGTTCCCAGTCTGTCCGGCCCCGAGCGAGTGATGGGGTGGACGTGTCAGAAGCAAACGGCCCGCGGCTCCAGCCTCACAGGGCTCAGCAGAAGGCAGGAGGCAGGGTCGCTGGTCCCACTCTGTCTCCCTGTCGTCTCCGTCGGCTCAGGGCTCTGACTGCCTTCCCTGGAAGGGCGTGAACGTCCCTGCCCCGCGCTGAGGGGTCCAGCCCCAGTTTGCTGTGGCCAGAGGCGGAGGGCAGATGGGAGGCAAGCGGGACTTGACACGCAAGCTCCTGCTTCTCTGCCCCTGCCAAGGAGAGCGTGCCTGGGCAGCCAAGAGACCCGAGGACAGGCACAGCGCCCCTGCAATGAAGAGCCAGCCCCGCTGAGCCCAGGCCGGACCTGCCCATCCCCACCCAGCCTGCACACTCACAGCGGGGCTGGTGAGGCAGCAAAGGCAGGCAGGACTCAATGCTGCCGTCTGGAGGCAGAATTCCTCCTCTGGGGCAGGAGCTAGGGCTCAGTCTTTGCCCTGACAGCCATCAACTGATGGGGCAAGGCACACCAGGTGGACGAGTGTAATCTCCTTTATTTAAAGTCAGCTGACTGAAGATGTTAGCTGCGTCTACAAAACGCCTTCACAGTAACACCCAGATTTATGCTTGATTGAGTAACTGGGTACCAGGGCCTAGCCAACCATTGTAAGACAAACCATCACAGTGAGTGTAAATGATTGCTGCTTGAAGCCACTGGGGTTTGGGGTGGTTCGTTACTCAGCACTGTAGGACCAACAGCTGACCGATACACAAGATAGAAACACATCGGAGCTGAAGGCTGTGGAGGTGTCATCATCGCCTGATGCACGACTGTAGGAATTTGATGTTCGGCCGGTGCATTTTGGGTCCCTGGTCTGTTCTCGGCACGCAGACCAGATAAAATAAGTGCCACGCCATGAAGCAGAATGGATAGAAGGATCAGTCATTCACAGAGGTGATGACAAACAGCCCTTCATAACAATTATCTAGTTAAAACACCATTAACAATTAATGACATACATCATAGAACTTATTGAACCCATTAAAGACTAATTTACTAGCTATAAAAATATGGCATTAAGAATTTATGGATCATTACCTTTTATTCTGGAATGAAATATTGCTGATGGAAACTCTTAGAAACTGTTGAAAACAATTACTCATTAAAGCCACATGAAATTAAATGATACAGCTTAGAAAAGAGAAAGAAAAGAATCCCAGCAAAGTTTGAAAATGTTTTTGAGGAGAAGCACTAACTTCGCGTGACACTGAATGGATAAAGATTATATTTTCAAACAGATTAAGATCTACAATTAAAGAATTCAAACGAAGTAATTTTAATATGCAATAAAATCTTCTTTTTGGAAAAATGTATTAGATCATGACTGATAAAAATTCCGATCATGATTAATCACTGCCAGGTATTTTGGAACACTATTAAGGAGAGTGTAACAATGTTAAAATTAATTAACTAATTCCTCTAAAGGATTTTAAAATATAATATGATGCAACAGCTGTTGCAGCTTTAAAAATGATTATTTCCTCTCCGCCCCGCAACCAAAATTTGTCAGTCAGAAATCGACCTAATCTCATTGCAATTTCCAATTTATTACTCTGTAATGAGACCAGCTTAATAGGGATGAGCCCCTTGTTTTCTAAGAGACCATATGCATGTCTGCAAATTTCCAGCCTGAGACATATGGCACAGGCCTGCTTCCTGCTTAACGCGTGGCTCTCGGGTCTGGTCAGAGGGACACGGGCCACGCAGCTCCTCTGCCCCGGTGTTCAGAGTCCAGTGCTGGAGAGTGGCCAGGCAAAACCAGCCCAAACTGTCTGTCAGATCAGTACTGGGGGGTTTCCCTGGTGGTCCAGTGACTAAGACTCCACCTCCCACTACAGGGGCCCAGGTTGGATCCCTGGTCAGGGAATGAGACCCCACGTACCACAGCCAAGCCTGTGTGCCGGAACTAGAGATGCCCGCACGCAGCAAAGAAGGGCCTGCACGCCGCAGGGAAGACCCAGGGCCGCCAACAAGTAAATGATCACAGTTAGCAAAGAAGAGTGCTGAGATGAGAGTCGATCTTTATACCAGTGAAAAGGGATCGTAAGCTGCGAGAGTTAGAAAAGTTCACATCCAAAACTCCTGATTTATAAAGACACTGAATCTCAGAGAAGGCAAGTGCCCTGCCCAGGGTCACACAGCCTTCAAAGGCAGGAGCAGAATGAAAACCGCGTCTGCTGAGTCCCTGTCTGGCGTCCCCACCAGAGGCACTGTCTCCAGGTGCCCACGTGGAGGAGACACTCTGTGGGCCCCTCCGGACGAGCGCTGATGGCTTCTAGATGTTCTCGAAGATAAAGCGCCTCTCCTGAGAGCTTTTGGGTGCTCACGGTCTGAGCGCTTCTTGTGTTGCTACTTACATTTTTTTTTAAGCTTCTTATTGGCAAGGGACTGGAACGACTTACTGGGCGCAGAAGTGGCAGAAAGTTTCCCCCCGAGCTCACAGGACCCTCTGCACGCCTGCCAGATGGCGGAGGCCCCTGCAGGCTGACTGCGGTCTCTTCCAGGAGGCAGGTGAGTGCAGGGTCCCAGAGAGCAGTCTTCATAAGGACATCCAGCTAGTTGCTTCCAGGCCCTCTTACCATGGGTAAAACGGGCCATCTTGTTGGCCCCTGATGGCATCCAGTGAGGTCTCCAGACTGGTGGTGTTGGTGGGATGACCTCGAAGAAACTCACAAAATTAAGATGCATCAACTTCGTTATTGCTGTTCAGTCGCTCAGTCATGTCCGACTCTTTGCGACCCCGTGGACTGCAGCACGCCAGGCTTCCCTGTCCTTCACTACCTCCCGGAGCTTGCTCAAACTCATATCCATCAAGTCGGTGATGCCATCCAACCATCTCATCCTCTCCCCTTCTCCTCCCCGCTTCAATCTTTCCCAGCTTCAGGGTCTTTTCCAATGAGTTGGCTCTTTGCATCAGGTGGCCAAAGTATTGGAGCTTCAGCTTTAGCATCAGTCCTTCCAATGAACACTCAGGATGGATTTCCTTTAGGATTGACTAGATTCATCTCCTTGCAGTCTAAAGGACTCTCAAGAGTCTTCTGCAACACCATAGTTCAGAAGTATCAACTTTGTCTCCTTACGAATCAACTTTAATATATCATTTCTTAACATTTTCAGACATTAACCACTAAACAAAAACCGAGGTTCACACATTGCCTCGCAGGTTGTGCGGGCTGGTGGGGCGAGGGGGCAGCTCTTTCTTTCCTGCTTGTGTTTTCTGCACAGAAAGAGTGCAGGCTGCACATGATCCATTATCCTTCAAGACTCTGCACAGACTTGACAGTGAAGAAGTAAATTTTCTTCTAGAGATGGAGCCATTTGTTTTCACTTGGCCTTAATATTTTCTAAACCCAATTGTGATTATTAATATATATCCTTGCCTTGAAGCTTTCATTCTAGTTGCAGAACTAAATAGAGGCCAAATCATAGAAACAGCCCAGTAAATAAACAAAAAAATACTGATAAATACTGGTCTGAGGGGAATTATTGGTGCATGCATATTATATATTACAACATGCACCCAAACTAATTTATACCCAGAGGATGATTAACTGCGTTTTCTGTGAAACAGACTCTGAATCAGTATCTTCCAAAACGTTGTCCAGTAACATGTGTTGGGTTGTGGATTCACCTTTCAGCAAATCCATATGCGGGGACTGGTGGTTGAGATGACCTCGTGGGTGATGCTAGGAGATGAGCTGTGAGAGGTCTTCCCCATGTCCTGGGGACTGCTCAGCGGACACGGCGGGTGTTGGACCTGTGAACTCTGTGGAGGCAAGTATTCCTGCCCCAGTGGGGAAGCAGGCAGACTCACACTAGCCTGGCTGTGGGCCACACCAGACCCACAGGAGAGTGTGCCACAACGCGGTGATGGGCTTCCCTGCCTCTCCAGGGTCTGTCCTCCAGGGAAAGACTGACAGCCAGCAGACCTGGACTCCCGTGACGGGCGCCCGGTCTCCCGCACCCAGCCCACCCCCCGGGGCCCGCAGCAGCTGCGTCACTCATCTGCGGGGTGCGGGACCGAGGTCCATCCCGAAGCTGTCATCTGGCTGAGGGCCCGCCTGCCGGGGGCCAGCCCCCTAGTGGGCGGCAGGCGGGCCACTCTCGGGGGGGCACGGAGTTGCCGCTCCTCGCAGCCAGGCAGGTCACCTGCTGCTGGAGGCAGGGGTGGCCGCCTCGCTCCCGTGCTTTCAGGCCCTGTGACGTCTGAGATTCAAACCAACGCCTGAATAATGTGCGAAACTGGACGTCTGCAGCCTGGACCATCACCCAGAACCGTCCTGCTCGCCTCCAGGAAGGCCCCTCAGAGCACAGACTCACCATGTGGGGTGCTGGATTCGGCCCTGGAGTCGCTAGAACCCAGTGAGCCCTGAGCGGATCTCAGCTGCGCTGGGGGTGCAGCCTGCCCCCTCCCTCTAGATGGTCTGTTCTCTCCTCTTATTTTATACGTCGTCTAAGACCCCAAGTTACTTAATGTCTCAGGAACAGAAACATCCTTCCTTCACCAGCTCCTGGTCCTCGGCGAACCCCAAACAATGGGCACAGATGTTCTCACAGATGAGGAAAAGCATCCACAGACTAAAAGGAGGCAAAATGTCCAAGAGAGCAATGCAGCAGGCTGGCTGTTTTATGAGTGTGAATGTGGTGGTTTTACGAAAAACCCATCTGTCTTAAGAACTTTTCCTTCTTTTCTTGACTCCGTCCCATTGTCCCTGATTCCAACAGAGTTTAATCACCTTTGGTGCTTTTGCCCAGAAAGATATTTTCAGGCATTCATCTCTGTCGGCAGTCTTTGGATAATTAGTCTTTGTACAATTAAAGGAAATCCTATCTGGGTCTTTAAATCTCTACTCATAAACCATAAATCACACAGTCCCCCAACCCCCTTAATCATCGCCTTCCTCTCTCCACGGCTCCTCCCCCTCCCCTGCAGCTTTCTGGCTCTGACACTCCTCTCAGGAATTTACAAAAACCTAGAGCCAAAGCTGCCAAGACTGGGCTTCCACGAGGGCCTTTGGAAGCCCCTGCCCCAGGCCCCCAGCAACCCCTTACCAGTAACATGGTGATTCCATCTGCATTCTTCAACTTCCAAAGCCTTGACATCTATTTAGGGTTCCCAGAGATAGGAAATAGAAACATAGAATGCCTGAGCACTGTTTGAGATGTGTTTATACTAAAAAAGCATTCATTGTTTATCTGAAGCTCAAATTCCGTGGGAGTCCTGTAGCCTGTCTGGAAGCTCTGGGACCTTACGCTTGCTGGAACTTGGGAGAGTTCCCATGAGGTGGCCAGAGGCACCCCCAACCCTGCCCACGTGGGTCGCCCACTGGGAGCCACAGCTCCTGGAACAGCCTCACGTGATGAGAGCTGCTCAGCATGAGGTCACGGCATTCGGAGGACAGTGCCCACTGTGGTCACCCCTTTGGGCGGTGCTCACGCCCACGGAGTCATGACCACGTTCACCACCGGCGTCCTCAGTTTTCCGTCCCGTGTCCTACGTCCAAGACACACATGACGATGCTGTCTTCCACGGGGGGCGGGGGGGCCGGTTCAGTTGGATGACCGTCTTCACGTGTTCAGCGCCGAGTTAGCACGTGGATAAGGCGACCACCCCGGAGCTCACGGACTCTCCTCCGAGTCATGCGGCAGCGCCGTCCCCCGTCCCCTGAGGTTTGCGAGCAGCGTCTGCTGCGTCTGGGGATCTGTCTGCAGCCTCGTGGGTTGCCCAGCTGCACGCAGGCAGGCGTTCTGTCCCCAGTAGCAGAATGCTGACCCGGTCCATCACCGCTGCTTCCGAAATGCGGAGCTGCCCTGCCTTGCTCAGTTTGCATTCCGTAACATCCTTACAGTGAGTTTTAGCTGCGTGTTTTCCTTGTATAAGACCAGGCCTTGTACAGTGTGAAGGACACAAAGACGGCGTGTGGACGTGGAGGAGGTCCAGGGCCACACCGGACTCCAGGATACTGGAGGCAGGTGGGCGCTGGGACCACTAACTCACCTTGGGCACAAAGTGCTGGGGTGCATCAAAACAGCCCTTCATGGAGGTAAAGAATACTTTAGTGCAACGTTTATATAAATGAAGCTAATGTAAAAACCCACGAGAAACCAAATGATAAAATTCAAATAAAAACAAGATCAGTACGACTGATTTTGCCTTTTCTCTCAAGGGTACTTAGGCACAGCATTGACTGAAATCCTCTCTGGAGACTGCACAGAGTTGTGGTTTTGCTGAAATAGTGGCGGGTCGGCTGTCTCAGGGATGGGATTCCGCGGGGCCTGGGCTGGATGAAGCCTCATGGGGATGGGCCCGTCTGTGCAATCCTGGCTTCACCCCTCCACCCCAAGGCAGCCCAGCCTCTCCCTGACAACATGGAGCCACTCCAGTCATGGCTGTGAGTGTGTGGTGTTCATTTTCAGTGACTCAAATGCGCCTCCCCACTCTCCAAAATTAAGTTACATGAAAGAGTGTGCTGGGCGTCACAATTTGCTTGGAAATTGGGGTCCGCACAAGGGGAGGGGCAGCCTCTCCCTGTCTCCCAGTTACGCCTTTTCTCTGGCTCCGTCACCTCCAGGCCCCCTGGAGCCACCGCCCCCTGGCTTTTGTTCTCCAGCGTCTGCGTCTCCTGCAGATGTCTGTCTTTTTCTATCAGGGAGATTGGCAGTCTCCCACTAGAATGGGCAGAGCCCCCCCTCTGTTGGGTTGGGTTGAGGGGTGCTCTCACTCTAAAAAGACTTTCAGGACATTTTAGCGGCTGCTCTGAACTGGGAACTGTTTTGACTCTCTTAAAGCTTTGGCAAGACATCACCTCATCACTGACATTTGAAACTGGAAAGACTGAATCTACACATGGTCCAGGCCAGACGGTCCATAAAGACGGAGCTCTCCCCACACTCTGCAGCGGCCTGCCCGAAAAGCCAGCCTCCTGCGGGCAGAGGCCGCCCAGGAGGCAGCCGCTGTAAGTCAGGCTTGCAGGAAGCCAGCCCTTGCGGTTAGTCAGCTGAGCAGGATATTGACCACTGTCCCCAGTAAGGATCCAGGAAGCCAGACAACAACCCAAATGGCGAGGGCTTGATCAGTGACCGACAGCTTCCCCACGTTCGTCCCTGCTTCCAACTCAGGACCAACCACAGAGCCACATGCTCCCCTTGCCTGGGATGCAGGCTGCCAGCCGCCGGCTCTAACGACCCGCCCCGGTCACCCAGGCCGACAGCCTCCCCAGGGCACCCTGCCCCTCCCTTTCCACCGCGATTTCTCCTGTTCAGCCTCACCGAGTCTCTGCCAAACACAGGTGACGGTGGCCAACCGCCTGCTGCAGTGAGCTCCACATAAGTGCACGTGACCTGCTTCTCCTTTGGGGGGGGTCTCTGTTCATCTCCAGGAAGCCCCCGGCCCGGAGTGTGGCTTGGGAGGTGGCAGGGCAGGCGCTGGAGGTCGCAGCCCCGGTAACTCTAGGGATGCGGCTCAGGTGGGAACTGGTTCTAAGGCTCCTCATGCCGTCCCCCCTCGATCACCGGCCTGGACAGGAGGGAACGTATCCTCTGTCTGAGTGCAGAGACGGCTCCCCAGGTGGGTCAGCAGTAAAGAATCTGCCTACAATGCAGGAGACAGAGGAGACGTGGGTTCGATCCCTGGTCAGGAAGATCTCCTGGAGGAGGGCATGGCAACCCGCTCCAGTACTCCTGCCTGGAGAAGCCCATGGACAGAGGAGCCTGGCGGGCCGCAGTCCACGGGGTCACAGAGGTGGACGCGACTGAGTGACAGACAGCACAGCTGTGTGAACACAAGAGCGCCCCCAGAGCGCATGGTCACTCCGGTCGGACCGGACAGCTTCAGTCGCTGCACAAAGTACGCAGAACTCCCCCCACTGCTTTGCAGCGGGTGCAACTTTTTAGGGCTTTGCAGACTCGACAGCAACAACCCCAAGCCCGTGATCTGGGTCAGCGCGAGTCCCCGCACAGCATGGCGGACACACGCTGGGCTCTGGCGCTGCAGGCCCGCAAGGGCGCAAAGACAACTGTGACACTGCAGGTTTCCTGAGAGAGCAGCAGTTAAACATGCAGATTCCAGTCTGCAGCATCTGGCCGTCTCTCAGGCCCAGGCTTCACATCAACCCTAGCAGCTCCCACTCTGCACGCATGGTGATGAGCTCGGCCGGGGGGACCCCCCCCACCCCCCGCCACAGTCAGGAGGGTCGCAGATTCGGGCTGAACTTTGCTAGACATCGAATCCTACCCACTCGCTCCAGACGGGGAAATGCAGCTACTGGGTGGCAGATCCGTGATCGGAACCCCACCCACACCCTACCCACACCGCGGCAGCTCTCATGCGCTCATTCAAAGCATTTACTTGACATTTCCCGCCGGGTCTGTTTCCTCTGCTTCTCGCTGCAGCCTTATTGGAATCAGGCCTTTTGGAGGAACTGTGTGTCTGTGGCTCTCTTGAGCCACACTGGTCTCAAGACTGGTGAGCATGTCACACACTAATGCTCTCTCTGGCGCCTCGATGCTCAGAGTGAAGTCCATGGGCCAGCAGCTTCGGCGTCACCTGGATGCTTGTCAGAAAGGCAGAATCTTGCGGGATCCACTGCGATCTCACAAGATTGTGAGATCAACCCAGATCCACCATATGACAATGAGAGGCCCAGGAATGGCGTGGCTGTCCTACATTTGTTGGATTCTTTTCTTCATTTTCTATCAGATTTTAGGAATTTTACCTCGTCTTCCCAACCTCTGAGCATCCAGAATAGCAGTCTTTGTAGCAGATGGAGTCTGAATACCCATGCAGCACCAGGGGCTCCCCAGGTGGCGCTAGTGATAAAGAGCCCGCCTGCCAGTGCAGGAGACGTGAGAGATGTAGATTCGATCCCTGGGTCAGGAAGATCCCCCGGAGGAGGGCACGGCACCCCACTCCAGTACTCCTGCCTGGAGAAGCCCATGGACAGAGGAGTCTGGCGGGCTACAGTCCACAGGGTCACAAAGCGTTGGACTGGATGTAAGTGACTTAGCATGCAAGCAGCATTTCCACCCAAGGACCAGATGTGGCCAAGAGTCAACAAACGCTTCAAGGTGAAAGACAACCGACACGTCTGATACTTCCCTTCCCCTGGGCTCCGGGCTCCTCCAGCCAGCCCTGTCTTGGTGACCCTGAGACCCTCTAAACCAGTGAGACGTGCAGAAGCGCTCCCCAGGTCCCCAGCCTCCTTGGCTTCTAAAATCTGCCAAGATTTCCCATTTCTTGGCCCATGGTGCTTATCAGGCAGGAAAGGCCTTGGAGCTGAGTCTGCGCAAACAGGGGCTCAGCTCTGCCAGCGTCCCGCCTCCGGGAGCCTGGTTCTCATCTGGGCTGCCGGGCAGCTCTCTGCGCCCTCAGGCGTATCTTGAAACAATTGTACCGTGTTCTCCTAGCTGCTCTTGACAGGGAGCTTGGTCTGTTTCACACTGATTTGTCGTAACAAGAACCAGGAGCCTGAGACCAGACCTCTTACTAGTCAGAGCGCTGTTAGTCCCCAGTGAACACAAACGTAAGTTCCTTAAAAAGGGAAAAGATGCAAGATCCAGGAACATAATCAGGAGCGACTGGGCTAAATTACACTGAAAATCTCACAGTTTGAGGCAGAGACACTGAGCTCTCACTCGGAGCTGTGTTCTGCGATGAATCTGGAGTATCTGAAATACTCCAGTCAGATGGTCCTGTTGAATAAGAAGTGTTGGAGAGGGGCCCTTTTCCTGTTTCTATTCTTTCCGATGCAAGGACATCTTCCTAGAACATAGGACACTCCTGCTGGAAGCAGAAGACTGAACGATGTTAAGGAAGCCAGAACCAGCACTGCATTCGTGCTAAGTCGCTGCATGTCCGACTCTTTGGGGTCCTATGGACTGTGCCCCGCCAGGCTCCTCTGTCCACGGGATTCTCCAGGCAAGAGTACTGGAGTGGGTTGCCATGTCCTCCTCCAGGGCATCTTCCTGACCCAGGGATCGAACCCCCGTCTCTTCTGTCTTCTGCACTGACAGGCAGATTCTTTACCACTAGCGCCACCTGGGAAAGAACTAGAAGCAGGTTTCTTCTAGCGATGGCCCATGACACCGGACCAGGGAGTCAACGGCGAGCAGAGTGACCGTGTCCTGTGGAGTGGACAGAGGGCAGGGTGCCTCTGCTCTGGTGTGAGAAGGCAACGCAACGCGACGCTACCCTGATTTGCAGGAAATATGAGTGTCTACTTAGAAACCCAGAAGAATCCACTAAAACTTACTACAATGAAGGCAAACACACGGACTGCAAAGTGGTAAAATATGAATGTTTCATTTATGAAAAAGAATGGAAACAGCTTTTTTAACTGTGGTAAGAAACACATAATTTACTATCTTAACCACTATTAAGTGTACAGTCCTGTGTGCTCTTAGCTTAATACACGAACAGAAGCTCAACTTCACTCTAATAAGAGAAGAACAAGTTGAAACTACACGGAAACTAGAGTTTACTTCTGAGGCAGGAAAAGATCAGAAGCGTGGAAACAGCGCTGAGGAGAGCTGCTCTGAGTGTAAACTCCCTCCATTTCCTAGAGGAAAAATGGGAGTGAAAGTCGCTCAGTCCTGTCCGACCTTTTGCGACCCCATGGACTATACTGTCCATGGAACTCTCCAGGCCAGAATACTGGAGTGGGCAGCCTTTCCCTTCCCCAGGGGATCTTCCCAACCCAGGGATGGAACCCAGGTCTCCCGCATTGCAGGCGGACTCTACCAGCTGAGCCACCAGGGCAGCCCCGGAGGGAAACACGGAGGTAAATGCGGACGTACAGGTGCATCTGCCTTGTGGCCTCAAGACTCCACACCCACGACCCTCCTCAGAGAGCTCGGTCCCAGGGCCTTCTGCGCTCGGGCTGGGGCTCCTGTGGCCCCCAGCCTTGCGAGGCTCCCTCCTCGGGGGCAGCTGAGCGTCTTGTACACGTAGCCTAGGCCACTCACAGCCACACAGCTGTGTTCACCATGGGTAGGAATCTTGGGGACATTAGAATAATGCCTCTGGCAAGATGGAATAAATATAAAGTATGATATAAGGGGCCCAAATAAGACTCATATCTATCAGAAATCAGAATAAAATACCGTCACATCTAAATGAAAGATGAGAAAAGAGGTTTATTCCCTTCAGCTTTTCTTTAGGCTTAAATTAAAATGATTAAATCAAACTATTATTACATTAAAATTATTAAATATGGGATATGGAATAAATAAAAAGTTTGATTTCCCCATGTCAAATAGTTGCAAGAAATTCCAACAGATTTATGTGTCACAATTTAGAAATCATTTTCCTATTGCTTTTTTACTGATTTTTGTCTATTATGAATGGACCGTCATGCATATTTTCATGTGTGTTGTTTAACTTTTTTCCTTAGGACAGAGTCCTGACAGTGGGACTGGCGGGTCAAAGGCTACTGTGGTGACAGCCATTCTGGTGACTCTTAGAGCACACAGCAAAATGTCCCTGCTGAAAACATTCACACCCCCGACGACATGAAGAAAGCACCAGTTTTGCTGCAAGCTTGAGTGGACCATCCACGGTCACTTTCGTCAGAAAACAATTCTTCATGCTTTAAGATAATACTTTATCAACAGAACTAGAAAAACAATAAACAGTCCTCAAGACATGGAAACTTTACTCTCACCTTTTGGAAAAGTTGGTCCTGTGTGAGCTCCCAGACACGCTCCCGTCCTGCATCTATGCACTCACGTGGGGACCCCACTGGGGGCTGTGCCAGCGCCATGAGGCTTCTCACCTCCGGCTAGAGCCTGGGCACAGCCGTGTGTATCTGTGTGTGCGTGTGTGTCTGTACAGGTGTGTGCGTGCAAGCATGTGTACATGTGCACATGTGCCTGCATGTGTGCATGCATGTACCTGTGCGTGCATGTGTCTGTGTGCACATGTGTCTCTGTGTGCATATGTGTCTGTACATGTGTGTGCGTGCAAGCATGTGTACACGTGCACATCTGTCTGCATGTGTGCATGCATGTACCTGTGCATGCATGTGTGTCTGTGTGCACGTGTGTACCTATGTGTATGTGTGTGTGCATGTGTACCTGTGTGTGCATCTATGTGCATGTACATCTGCACCCATGTGTTTGTGTGTGTGTGTGTGCACATGTGTGGCCTTCTTCTTCACACCCATCTGCACTAAAGGAGCCCTGAGGCACACCTGGGGACCACCCCTCTCTGCACCCGCAACCTTCACCTTTTTCAGGTAAAAGGCACAGGTTTGGTTGGACTTGCCACTTTGTCCCCTGTCCTTCTAGAAGGTCTATTTTGCACGTTGCCAAAGGCAGTGTCGGCCACCCAGGGACGTCCAGCCCCAGGCATAGCCCCTCTCGTCCACAACCTTATTCCTCCCCTAATGCCCAGACCCAGAGCCATTCACGCTTTTCACTCTGCATTGAAACGCTTGGTAAAATTAGGTGAATTGAATTTACAACTTTTCTTATGACCCAAATTTCTCTAGTTTTAACAAATCTTTTGTTTATTTTTCAGCACCTCCCTCACCTTTTCTAAATTCATGACACGAAAACATGACAAATCTGAGCTCTCCATTCTGAATCTAGGTTCTCATCTGAAAAATTATGAGGTTTCAGGACATAGAAAAACGGCGAAATGGCAGTAACAATCCAGGGATTCCAGAGACGAATTCCCCTGCCCCCACGTCCGCATGAACACATGACCACCTTGATGGAGCAAGCGTTCCCTAGAACCTTCTCCACCTTCCTCCTGACAGAACCCCATCATCGCTCAGCAGAAGGAGAAGGGCGTTCAGACTTACCTGCCTGAGGACGGAGTGCCCAGGCGTGCAAGCTTGCTTCTGGGTCCATCCTTGCCTGCGGGCACGCCTTCAGATACAGAGTCCACCACTTCCTCCAGACGAGTGCCATTTGTAATCCAACTCCAATCGACCCACGCCGAGCTGGCGATCCTGGCTAGCTGCTCCATGGCTGAGAGGCTGATAAGGAAGCCAAGTTTCAGCTGCAGGGAGGACGTTGTCTCCAGTCCCTCTGGGTTTCAGCAGGGGAGACGGGCATCCTCCAGAGCCCAGTTGTCTAAGAGCCCTGGGTAGGACTGGCCCTCCTCAGGGGGCATAGCTCAGTGTGGCCCCAAGCCCCAGCCTGCAGGCGCCGGCCTGGATGGCAGGAGGGAACACGGGCTCTCTGCACCATCACACCCTCTCAGTCCCCATGTCCCCCCGTGCTCTGCGGCCCCCTGGGGGGTCACACACTGGAGAGCGGTCTGGGTGTTTGATGACAACTGTTCTTTGAATAGCTGTCTGTCCATTTTGTGCCGACAGGCTCTCAATCTCCGTCATGCAGTTAGTTCCGTCCTGGCGAATATTCAGTTGCCTCCTGATCGCTCTCCATGGACAGTCAGACCCAGAAATGTCAGAACATCCCCAGCAGGGTCTTGCCCTCCTTGCCGTCGGGGCGGTGTCTGTGGCCGCTGGTCCGGGGATGCAGGCATATAGCCCCTGCATTGTGGGTGCACCAGGGGCATCAAGACGGGTGAGGAGGAGACGCTCCTATTCCTTGAAGATGCAGACCTGCCGGGGGCACCTGGCCCTCACAGCTCCAAGGACTGTGCAGCTTCTCAGAGTGGCCGGGGGGGTAGGCGGACACGGGGGCCCACTGGGCCGGGCTCCGCGACGGAGCGGACAGCAGGGCCTGCAGAGTGAAGAGCAAGATGCGGTCAGGGGCAGGGAGTGTCTGGGGGACAAGGCCAACTCCGCCTTTGGGGTTAAGGCCCACCCCCCACGGATGGCAGGGCAGAATCTGGAAAGGATGTGGCTCCCACTGACCTTACACTCACTATGCCAGTCTGGGCTGTTCCGCTCTGTGCTTCTTTTCTTTCTTTCTTTTTCATTATTTAAAATTTATTCTGAGGTATCTTGCTTGGTACTCAACCTAATCATAATGCTACTAATCATAAGTGCTAATGATAAGTCCTAATCATAAGTACTTTAAAAAATGAATGTATTATTAGTTCCCTCCCCAAAGGCTAATGGTTTACCCCAGGCTGTTTATTACATTATCACCAACTTCCGTTTCTTTCCAGCTAAATGTTACTTTGATGGATCGGGCTTCTCTGGATCTCAGGCGCACCAAGCATCTCCTAGGAGAGGCCTGATGGCAAGGTCACGCTCGCTCCATGAAGGGGCTAGCTTCTGCACCTGCCTCCCTTGCTCTGGAGTCACTCCCAGACACAGGGGAAAAGGTTGATAAATCACTGAACCTTCACCTGGCATCACTAGGGCTTGAAGTGAAGACTTTCTCGGGCAGATCACTCTCAGCATCAGGAGGTGCATCATGAGGGAGGCAAGGCCTGCAGCTCAGGTTGCAGCATTGGAGAGAGACTGGGAGACCGGGTGGAGCCCAGCATCAGGACCACGGCCAGCGCCCAGCTGGCCTGCCTGTCTTCACACAGGCGGAAAGGGTGCTTCCAACGTGTTTAGGCTTATTGAGGATGTTATCCAGCCCTCCTGTCTAACACGTGTGCATCTGATCTCTTCTGGTCCTGCCCACTTTAATTAGCCCCAAGTGCGCTGTGCTTTTGGTAACCTTTCTCTCAAATAATGCTCAATAATTTTAGTTGGGTTTTCATGCACTGAAACAAGGAATAGTAATTCCTTTTTTTTCCCTCCAAAATAGAGTGCTGGCTTTTGAGGTCAATTTGGCTCATATTAATTCTGTATTTTCATAAAGTTGGGAAAGGCCTGGCTGGGGGGGAGGAGGTGCTCGTGTGAGGACAAGATAACCCAGAAGACCCGGTTTGCACACAGTCTTTTGATCTTCCAAAGAAAAAAGGGGACACACCGTGCTGAGTCCTCAGCCTGTGGTTCAAGCCTGTTGGCTGCATTTCGGTCTCAGCCCAGGGAGGTCTCCTCGGAGAGCAATGCTCTTCTTCCAGTGACTGAGGAGGAGCGACAGCTGGGGCCCCTAGCTGCACGGGCACTCAAAGGACACGCTCAGAACCCTCGGGAAGGGTTTCCCACTGGGCTTTGTATCAGCTGTCTGCTGCCGTGTAACAAATTACCCCAAACACCATACATTAAACGTCCTTAATTTCCACAGAAGTGGAACTCCAGATCCCAAAGCGACTCTTGATGTCCCCAGGAAACCTGGTTTCCTGCCCATATTCTTATGTACCTAAGTAGAAGTTTGTGTGTATGTCACAAATAAGAATCTGCCTGCAATGCAGGAGACCTGGCTTTGATCCCTGGGTGGGGAAGATCCCCTGGAGAAAGGACAGGCTACCCACTCCAGTATTCTGGCCTGGGGAATTCTATGGACTGTATAGTCCATGGGGTCGCAAAGAGTCAGACACGACTGAGCGACTCTCACTTTCACTTTTCATGTCACAAATAAGAACAGTCACAGGTATAACAAAATCCATTTCCTTTTCAGGTGTGGAGGTGGGAGGTGCCTGTTGCTGCATCTAGGTACTTGAACCACTTTTCTTTTAGACTGAATTGACGTCGCCTCTAAGTATTCAGTGGGATGTGTTATTATCCTCAGTGTTGTTTGCAGCTCCTCTCAGAAGCTCCCGTCTTCCTGCTCTGACTTGAACTTTTATTTTGTGGGAATCGCAAGTCTCTATCACGGGTGGGTAGTAAGGGTCACCTCCTTGAGCTACAATATGGGAGAGAGGCTGGGGCACACGTGCCAAGGTCTGCCGTGGGCAGGGCGCCCAGCAAACGGGAGTCCCCACCCCTCCCTCAACCGAGTTCTCTCTCCTCACCCGTCTCTCCCCCAAGCTGCCCCTGGAAACAACCTGGGCATCTTCACTTTCCTCCCCAAGCTGCCCTTTCTCATCCGTAAGGACTGGCCCTAGAAGGCAGGCTGTGAGCATCCTTGCTTCCAGCTTCCTCCCATGCCAGGGAAACCCCTAGACCCCCCCAGGCCCAAGTGCCCCTGGAGGGGCCACGCTGGGAGCCTCTGCCTGCAGACCCCCGGGTGCTTCCAGTTCACACATCTTCACCAGAATGGTGCCCCCCACCCCATGCCCACCTCGCCAGACGCCAGCTCCACACAGATGTCTCCCAAGAGCCCAGCGGAGTTCACAGTCATTGTGCCAGGGCCCCTCTGCGAGTGTGTTCACTCTTGGGTCACAGATAAAGGGGCTTCCCTGGCAGCTCAGATGGAGAAGAATCCGCCTGCAATGTGGGAGACCCAGGTTCCATCCCTGGGTTGGGAAGATCCTCTGGAGAAGGGAATGGCAGCCCACTCTCATATTCTTGCCTGGAGAATCCCACAGAGGAGCCTGGCAGGCTACAGTCCTTTGGGTCAGAAGAGAGACAGGACTCTCAGCTAACACTTTCACCCTCACTACAGATAAAGAGTCTCAGGTGTTGGGGTGACCCACCCAGTTGTGCAGTTTCTATGCTGATGCCTGCCAGCCAACAGCATGTGTGTGTGTGTGTGTGTGTGTGTTTGCAGAAGCCTCTTTGTCTCTCTCATTTATCACATCCCTGGTTGGAGGCAGACATCCCTCTGCTAAATATCAGCCACTGGCCCCCTGGAGACCCCTTCTTCACCGAGAGGCTGTGCTGTCCACAAGCCCGCCCACGAGGAAGAGCGAGCCCACTCCAAGGACAGATCACTCCAGTGCAGCAGCTCTTAGAAGTGAATCAGGAGGGGACATGGGGACCCCCGCATCCCATGAGAGAGGAGGGTCTGGGCGCTGTAGGGAGCACCTCCCATGTAAACAGAGAGGCAAGCACTCTGTGAATCCCCAGAAGTCTCCCCCATGCCGCTGCCTCCAAGCCCAGATTCAACATGCTGCCGTGTCCAGGCCCCATCTGCTCTCGGCTAATGGAAACTGGAGAGTGGGGCGTGGAGATGCCGGGGCGGGTGGGGCTTGCTATTAATGAACCTTGCTGGGGGTCTCTGCCTCTCCCCGCCCCTGGACCGTGATGAGCCAGTCGGACCTGTGGCTCTGGGCCTGTGGTTTGTAAAGTGCGGCTGGGGGAGGGGACCCTCGACTGGCCCCTCTGGAAGGACTTGAGGGCCGAGCATCGCCGTGCTTTTTATAAAGATAATTGTTGCCTGTGAGGGTTCTAGACAGCCACTCGTGCACACCCAGGAGGAGCAGGGCTCCTTATCTCGTCTGGACTCAGCAGAGGAGGAGAATGCGGGTTCTGGGCCCTGCACGCTGCGTCTTCGCCCCCGCTAACCCTGTTTCCATTTTCTGCTTTGTCTTGTGGACACAGACAGCAGCCTCATGGATTTAAGTCCACTCATGTCCCTCGTGAGGGCCCGGGGAGAGTCTCAAAGATACCTTCTGGCTTTAATGGGGCTTAAAATGTCTCACTGTCCTCATGGCCTGAGGGTTCAAAGCATGTTGGTAGAAAAAAATAATGTTATTAATGCAGAAAATATGTGTCCAGTGGTCCTCCTTCTGGGATTTAGACATCGAGGTCGCACACGCAGCGCGGAGAAGCTTTCTCTGGGGAACCGCTCAGTTCTTGGACGTGAAGCAGACACAGAGGCATTTCTGCTCAAGACCCCAAGAGGACACTGCGGCCCATGGCCCTGGCCGCACCGTGCCTGCTCCAGGGGGCAGGGCCACTGAGGCCCACTCCCCTACCCCCCCGCTGTCCTCTCAGACGCCGGCAGAGCAGGTCCTGACCGAGCCAGCATCAGTCACCTCTGACTTCTCAGGAGCCCGATGTGCGAGAGATAGCTGGACCCCTCCCCACATGAGCAGATGACACGCGAAGAGTTGAGGAGCGGTAGAAGGTTATGCTTTTCAGCAGCATTTAGGCATTTTAAATTCCCCTTTATATTAAATTTTCATAAGTGGCAAGAAGAAGTTAGTCGGTCGGTCATGCCCGACTCTATGTGACGCCGTGAGGGTGAACCAAGTTTCAAGTAGTTGGTCTGAGATTTCATTTTCAGCCACTTTGGCGAAACATTTAAGGAGCAGAATCAAGCAAATCATCTCGATGATCAGAGGTCAGATTTTAAAAGGTAAAATATTACCTTTTCTTCCCCCAAGTATTGTCTTGACACTAAAATATTGAGAATGAAAGGAGGGGGGTGCTTGTCCCCCCTCCTTTAAGTCGGCAGAGACGTCTACACAGACGTCGGAGAGGATTCTGTCCGGGCTCCGATCCTGAGGCCACCTGGGCAGATGCAGCCTGCCTCAGACCCCAGTCTGCCCAGTGAGTGAGTCCCCATCACGGAGGGCAGGGTGCAATGCTCTTTGAAATGCCCAGCGCAGGTGAGCTGTGTCAGAGCCATCTCTAATGGAGCTGTAACGACCAGGAAGACTTTGCATGAAGGCTTGGTGTCAACAGATCCAGGTTCTGTGATCCAGTTGCTGTCAAAGGATCCAGGCACCATATTCAACAGGTTTGCACTGAGGCTGGTCAGGGCTGTGCCAAGCAAGCGTGAGCTGCTGGCAGCCTGCAGAACACAGAGGGTGCACTCGGGAAAAGCAAGGAAGGCGGAGGTGAGCTGAGCCACCGCGACGGGATGATTCCATGCAGGGACGGGGCCGGGTGTGCGCCGGGGGAGCGCTGCTGGGCAGCCGCGTGAAGTCGTCCAGAACACAAAGGGCAGCGGTGAGCTTGGAGCTCGTGATCACAGGTCTTCCCAGGATGCCAGGCATGCACAGGCCCTGATTCAGGGGGTCGAGCTTGTCACGGAAACAAGGGCTGCCT